GGGCACACTCAGCCAGCGCTTGCCGCCGGGGTCCCCCAGCGCCGCAACAGGGGAGGGCACCGCGGTCCGCTGCTTCTCGCGCTTCATCATGTGCAAGATTACGCTGAAAAAGCCAACGGGGGCGTATTTCGATGCGGGGCAGTTCGTGGCCGAGTACTACATGGTGGGTTTGCCGGTTGCCAGTTGTGGGGTATGCGAGGAGTTGTTCAGGAGTTGGGATGCTGGTCGGGACGAAGCAGCCACGCAGGTTGGGTTAAGAGTACCTAGCTCTGCAAGTCCGCATACGCTTCATATTCGGCTCTCGCCTTGGCTCACCGCCTGACTTGTCGCTGTTGGGTCTCGCAGAAACAAGCGGCGCCACATGAAACCAACTACACTGCACGCCTAGAAGCGGCGAATGGCATGGGCCCGACAGTCCTGAACGACCCTACCGTGCTTAAGGTCGTTTTTGCCGTACGCTCCAAAAGCCACAAGGACATTGGTCGCGTGCTATTGAACGAGGACGAGCTGATAGAGCGCTGCAACCGGCAAGAAGTGAAGTTCCCGACCGACCCGGGGGTCACCATCTTCCGCAGCGTGTACTGCATACGGCACGTGTTTGGTGTGGACAACCTGTACGACATGTGGCTTGTACGGCGCATGGACGTGCTGGTGGGGGTGCATGGCTCGGCGCTGACAAACGCGATGTTCATGCGGCGCGGGTCCGCGCTGATTGAGCTGCGGCCCTTTGGTTTTAGCGGCCGGGAGTCCTGGCCTAACATATACATGAAGGTGGGTCAAGAGTTGGGAGGGCCATGAACGGTTAGAGTGGCATTGGATGCGGGAAAGCTTAGGTGTGCTCCCACAGTGATAAGGCGTAAAATGTTTAGGTGAAGCCGCCACCTCGCTTTCTCTTCCACGGCACGCAAAGTCCTGGCAACTCCTTCCCACCACCAGCGGGCCCTCGCCTCCGAACAACGTTTTTCCTCATCTCCTCTTGTATCCGCCTCTCCCCGCACCTCACTCTACCCACAGGCCCAGACCCGCCACATGGAGGTGTTCTGGTTCGGTATCGATGTCATGAACGCCTCCCTCTCCACCCCCGGGGACTTTGAGGCGGACATGCAGGACATCTACACGCGCGCCCGGGGCTGCCTTGCGCGGGACCGCAACCTGATCGTCCCGTGGGTCGCTCTGTCGCACCAGCTGCTCAACATTGCGGTTGTGAGCCGCTCCGTGTGGCGGTACAAGGTGCTGAGGTACAGCCACGCCTACTACGTGACGCATGACCTCAAGGTGAGCATGGTGCAGTGCTCGGCACGACGGGTGACTGTTAGCACTGCCCAATGCCAGCGACCATGCGTGGGCGCTTGTGCGATTATTCTACACCCTATGGCACCGTTTGCTCCTGCGCAGTCTCCGCCTAGGTTGTAACTCTTATGGCTGCCTCCTTTCCCCCCCTCTCCTCCCTCCCTCAGGCCGTGGAGGCGCCAGGTAAGGAGAAGTGGGTGGCTCCGGAGCTGCTCACCTGGTTCACGGACCTGGATGCGGAGCGGGCGAGGGCGGCAGCCATCCCGCTCACACCGGAGGGCGAGGCGGCTGCGCAGACGGCGGAGGAGCAGCTGATGGCGGCGATACAGCGGAAGCGGCGGGCAGCTGAGGCGGCGGCGGCTGCGGAGGAGGAGCAGGAGGTGGCGGAGGGGGGAGGAGGAGGGGATGTTCGGGGGGCACAGCAGGGCGAGGCGCAGCAACGCACGGGCGGGGTGGCAGAGGGGCAGCGGGGGCAGGATGTGCAAGCAGGCGGACTACCGCAGGAAGGAGCAGTGGAGAAGGCACACGGAGCAGCCCAGGCCACCCAAGGGGTAGCAGAAGGGGGACAGGGGGTAGCGGATGGGTTACAGGCTACAGCGGCGGTGCCTCACGCTAGAAAGAGGATGAGGCGGCAGACGCTGCAGGAGAGGCGACACTGGGTAGAGTCAGGTGGCGGGCATGGGCAGGCGGTGGCGGCAGCTGTTGCCGTTGGGAATGCCACCGGCGGTGCTTCCATTGGTGGAGGACAGGGTGGGGCAGCAGCAGAAGCAGGGCCAGGCAGAGAGGAGGGGGCAGTGATGCCGATATAGTGCCAAAGCGGCGAGGGCGGTTGCTGGAGAGATAGGGGCGCTATGTCTGCGCCAGCTAACCCGAGGGTATGCCGGTCCGCTAACATACATTGGCAGTTCGAATGTGAGCTAATGCGTCATGTTAATGACAGGCTAGCAACGCGAGCAACTCTCTATTTTGTTTATTGGGCGTAGGCACGTGCTTTTTGATTTAGTGAGCACTTCAAGTATGTGAATTGAGCTGCAGGACTACCGTAGTTGCTATAGAAGGTGGTTACCCTCCCATGGAGCAAGTCTCCCTTGGAGGGGCAAAGGAACCTGTGACCCATGTTTACAACAACAGGCGGGCTAGCCTGGCCTGAACAGTTGCATTGGAAGACAACTGCCTATCCACTTTCAGTCAGCGTTGTACATATGTCCGAGCGTCGCAATCTTAGTGCCATAACATGTCGAGTTGTTCATGCCTGGATCCAATTGGACCATGATAAACCATTGCAGCGCAATATTCATGCATGCGCGCGCAATAGAACGCACTTGGGTCAATGCGCAGGGCCCAATAGGGGTAAGCCTGATTAGGACACAATGTCAACGAAAACACCGTAATTCCTAAGGAGCAAAGAACACGTACAACTAAGCTGATCACTGAGAGCCGTAGCTCACACACGACGAAGGCTTCTTCCGGGAAGAAGCAGAAGATCCAACCTGAACAAAAGCGCCACCCTCGGGGCTATAGCCATGCAAGTCAAGCTGAATCGCTGTCCCACGAATACGTATATACTCCTAATCCCTTCTCACATTTGCAGTAAGCTATGTACCAAGTCCCGGCCCTAATCTACGTATACTCGACCCTCCCTTGACCAGCAATGCAACAGAAGCAGCTCTTTAACAAAACCCTTGCCTCACTGCCAAGGAAGATCAACACCAGCAAACCACCGGAAACATTACCAACGGCAATCCTCAGCATCCCCACCAGCATCGATAGCCTAAAACACCAGTGCGTGAGTGTGCATAGTACACTCAGCAACCTCCCCCAAAACACATAACCCCACACCCCCTCACGCCCCCGCCCCGCTCCCTCAGAACGCGAGGCCGGTAAAGAGCGCCACTCCTCTGTTGATCCAGTGCCCTTGCGGCCGGTCGGAGGGCAGCTCCAGGTACATCACGAAGTTGGTGGAGTGGCCGGTGGTGGACAGCGTGCCGGCGCGCGTGAGGGTCTTGTAGACGGGGCACTCGTACACCACCAGATTGCCGTCCGTGGGAGAGCCGCTGGTGGGGGGCTTCTTGCGGAACTGCTCGGGTCGCAGCCAAATGATGGGCATCTCGGTGTAGAGCTCCTTGGGGCGCGACTCGGCCACCACATGGGTCTGATGGCGGGAGGGGGCCGAAAGAAGTGGGGAGAGAGGAGGGAGGGAGGGTAAGTGATGCACGATGGGTTTGAGATCGTCCTTTGCGCAGGAATGGTTGCTTGTTCTAATCCAGCTCTGGTACTGCGTTATACCAGAGACGGTTGCTGCTGTGCACCAAAGCTGCCCCGCGTATGTGTCTGCGCCCTGGCCCTGCTCCACCCGCCATAATCCCATATGTATCCGTTCCTCTGGGACCTCTAAGCCACCCTCCACCCTTCCTCCCCCCTCCCCCAGCTCCCCAGCGCACCGTCGAGTCCCATCTCGCTCCCTCCATGAACAGCCCCCGAATGAAGCAGCCGTCCTCGGGGCCACTGTCGACAGCCGCCTCGATCAGCGAGTCCATCACTTGGAAGCCAAACGACACCGTGTCAATGGGGTAGGTGTACTTGCGAGCAAAGTTCTGCAGCGTACCCGTCAGGAAGGCCTGCGGGCGGAGGAGCAAGCGGGTGCGAGAGGGTGCAGCGTTCATAAGTCACGCTTCACCAGTGACTTAAGCTTCTGGTGGTGTTGACTTGACAATAAGGACTACCACCATGAGGCCATGCACCCCAGCTACCTAACCATGCAATGCACCCCAGCTGCCTAACCATGCCAAACACCCACACACCTGTGGGAAGAAGAAGCCGCTGACCCAGTACACCGAGGGTGTGCCGCGCGTCACCCAGTTGGAGATGAAGACGCAACGCTCCAGCAGGTCCACCACCCAGGCGGACAGCGGCTTGAGCGAGGGGTAGGCGCGAGAGGCCCACAGCTCCGGAACCTGGTTGTCGTACATGCTGTATGCGACCCCCTCCAGCTCCGGACTCATGACCACCAGCCCCTTCAGCGCCTTGATGGTCTCCGTCAGGCTGCGCTTCATCACCGCCAGCAGCGCGTTGTAGCTGCAGTGGGGTGAGGGCGAGGAGCAGTAGCGTCAGTGTGGTGAGAATTTGGCCAAGTGGGAGTAGGGAAGCCGGTGTACGGCAGACCGGCTGGAGGATATGCATACAGGGTGCCAGGACAGGAAGAACTGGCTTGCCGGTCATGCGAACAGCCCTTTGCTTAAAGCGCCCCTGGACGGTGCCATAACCCGGGTCCTGCCGCTCACCCCACCCCGCTTCCTGCCTCTCCCCCTCTCTCACCGGATGCACTCCTGTGTGAGCACGGTGTTCATGGACTCCTTGTAGGTGGTGGGGTAGCGCGTGATGACGGCCTCCACGTCGAACTGCGGTGGCAGGCGGGCCTGGATGTCGGCAGCCAGGGAGGCGATCACGGACTCCTGGCTCTGGCCGCCGCCTGGAGGAGGGATAGAGGGATACGGGGAGACCGAGAGATGTTAGGATTAGGTGGGAATTAAAGCGACAGCAATGATGGGACGGGTTATAGAATCAAGCTTAGTGCAATGGTACGACAGGCATGCGCAGGCAGTTGCTCCACCCGAGGGCTGAAGGCCCCTTCGCGCTCCGCCACATGACGCCCCACCTGACGCGATGCGCGGTTGCAGGGACAGCACGGTGGAGAACATGTCGTAGGTCTCATTCTGGTCGCACGTGATGTCGGCGTTCTCGTGCAGCCCGAAGATCTCGGGCTTGGGCACGATGGGGTAGGCACGCAGCAGGTCCAGGTGGTCGCGCACGGACACGGCGGCCTCGGGCGGGGTGGCGTAGGTGCCGCTGGGGCTGAAGGGGTAGCCGGGCTGGGGAGGGCGGGAGGGGAGGGACAGGGGGGTGGGCGTCATGCGGCACGGCGTTTTAGGAGGTTGAGCAAGGACGTACGTAGGATCAGAGCAGCAGCACAGCAGCAGCGGTACAGGTTTAGGCCGAAGTCCTGCGCTATACTGTTTTTCCAGGCCACTTTCGTTGCTGCGGCTGCCAAAGCGGCACTGCTCACCTGCAGGATTTGCGGGCCGCAGAAGGTGTAGATGAGGTTGTTAATCAGGCGGCGGTCCTTGTCGTCTGTCACGCGACCGCCGTAGTTGATTTCCGTGAAAAGGAAGCGCAAGACCTTGAACGGGATCTCATCATACCTGGAAGGGGCAGGTGAAGGGGGCAGCGTTGGTTGCTTGTTAAAGTCAAGTTGCTTTTGCATCCCATTCCGACAGGACATTCCGACCCAAACGCAGTCTTTGTTACTGCTACGCTCTGGACCTTCCCTGTATGTTACTCCCCGAGTGTCAGTCCTGCACCCTCTCCCCTCCTCGGCCCCAAACCTCACTCCTCTCCCTCCCCCCCGTATAGCTCACTTGTCCAGGTACTCCTGCAGCTGCGCCAGCGACACGTTGAGGTCGCCATCCGTGAAGTCGTAGCGGATGTTCCAGCCCAGCGGACCGAACTTACGACGGTCCTAACAGGAGAAAGAGGGGAGAAAAAAGAGACGTTGCATGGTAAACGTTGGGGTTGTGGTGTGCAGTCCAGCCAGGGTGCTCTTATCCCCAGTCCTCACGCCAGCACACCGCTGCACGGCCCACGCCTCACCTGGATGACTGCGTGGAAGAGGCAGAGGCCGAACACGAGGCGGCGCCACTGGTCGGGCTTGGTGGAGGCGGCGAGGTAGGCGTCCGTGAGGCGGTTGTACTGCCGCACCAGGTTGCTCTTCAGGCCCTTGGGCGGCTCCAGAGTCATCTTGACGCCGTTCTGCAAGAGGATAGTTGGGTGCGGGTACACAGGTGGAGGAAACATGAGGAAGGGATGCGCTTCAGAACATGTGACGCAGACTCTACCCAAGAACATACCGGTACTACTACGCCTGCTAAAGCCCAAGAAGGGCACCGAGCTTGCATCTCAGCTCCCGTACCTGCAGGATGGCTACCGGGAAGTCCGGGCTGGGCATGGAGGTGAGCCACAGCCTGAAGTCCTTGTGCACCCGGTCGGGCGCGATGGACTCCACGATGCGCTCCAAGGTGGGCATCCAGCTGACCGCAAGGTGGCAGTTCTGAGGAGGGGGTGGGGAGCAATGGGTTGGACAGTAGCGGGAATGTACTGTGTTAGAGAGGGTTGATGTAAGTGAGAACGTGGCATGACAAAAGATGCCTCGTGTGCGCCATGCAGTGCCTACTTCCCTACTTCGGCCCACCCCTCCCCGTCGCCAATGGCGTGTTCAATGTTCCCCATGTGCTCGGCCCTTCTCCAGTCGCCAGTGCCCCACCCACCTGCAAGCACACCCAGATGCCGCGCTCCATGCCCGCCTCCAGCAGCTTCTCCGCCTTGGGTCCCTGCCCCTGGCCCAGAGACACCTTCTCGAACTTGCGGCTGAACTTCATCTCCTCCGCCAGCTTGAGCAGGTCTGCGAGGGGAGAGATGCAAGGGGCAGCAAAGTTGAAAACAACCAGGGCGTGCGGACACATCATGCGCTCCAAGAGCTCGATAAGCCATGGGCCATTCGTTTTGGTGAGGTATCGAACCTATACTCTCCTGACTTGCTCCGTGCATCTAGTGCCCCCATTCTACACCCATATACATGTCACGACCCGCGGGTCACACCAACTCAGCCAACCTCCACCCACCCGCCATGGGGTCCGCTCCCGGGCTGAGCACGAAGATGAGCGGCACCGCGGGGCTGCTCTCCTTGTAGCAGGTCGCCAGGTCGAAGGGCGGCGGCTCGATAAAGCGCTGCCCCAGGTGCTCCGACACGAACGCCTGCACGGCGCCTGTCACCTTGTCGGGGCGTAGACACCTGCGGACGGCGGGACCGCAGCATTTGGCACGCGCACATAATATGGCCGGGGGTTCGAGCAGTTAGGAGTGCAGCAACGATGCTAACAAACAAATTGAGATGCTTTATCTCCGCATGCGTTGCTGCCCATTTGCAGCGAGTCCACGTACGCCCCTGGTCCCACCTGAGGAAGCACAGCTTCTGGAAGGAGTCCAGGTTGTCCTGCCAGGGCTCCGCCAGCGGCAGCTCGTGGGCTTCGTTGGAGTCGAAGATGGCGCGGTAGTGCGGCAGGTTGGCGGCCACGTGCTCTGCAGGCGATAAGGGGGAATCGGGTTTAGGTCTCCGGCCCACAAGACGGTACATACCGGCAGCTGTAGGGACCAGCCTGCTTGGGCATGCACCGGCATGTAGCATCGGGGAGCATGTGTCCTAAGCTCCACTCCTTGCATGCAATGTCCGTCCTTACCAGCAAAGCCCTTGAACGTGGGCAGGTTGCTGAGGTTCAGCAGCTCGGTCCACGCCTTGTCCGTGAGCCAGTCGGAGGCGGGGTTGGGCTGCGTGGCTTCGCTGCTGGTGGGGCCCGCAAGCAGGAAACGCCACTCGCGCCCGTCAATGCGGCCTGCGGGCAGACAGGGCAGGCATGGAGGGGACAAAATGAGTGGGAAACATGGTTTGCAGCTGGTGCAGCTTACCACATCCCTCCTCTTCCACCCTGCTGCCCTCTTCCTCCCTGCCCGCTGCCTACCCTGGTTCTGCAGTATCTTGATGGCCAGCAGCAGCGAGAACATGAGCTTGTGCGCCTCGAACAGCGAGCGGCAGATGTTGACGTAGAGGCTGTAGGTGAAGTACTCGTTCAGGTTCTCACCACGCTGCTCCACGGAGGCGGACTTGGGTGCCTCCTCGATGCCACTGTGGTAGGAGCCAGGGAGTTGTGGTGTTGCCGAGGGATTGGAACCGCAGATGTGAGGTGCAGAGGAGGCCGCTAAGTCTCAACAGCGCTACGCTCTTCAATGCCAGCGCAAGGAACGCTGCAGCAATTGGGACGCTGCGGACTTACCGTACGAACAGCGAGATGAACCATGCGAGGCTGTACTGGTACATGGGGTCCACCAGCGCTAGGTCGGAGATGGCGAAGAACAGCAGCGAGGAGCGCAGCGCCACCGGGCGGTACAGCTCACGCGTCTCGTCGATCTCACGCTCTGTGGCCTCCGCCTCCGCCACCTTGGCCGCGATCTCGTTACTGGTCACCTGTGCAGCGGCAGAAACGCATTAAAATGGTGAGGTGGATGCACCGAGGTACCAACAAGTGTGAGGTCCCAGCAAAGGCTTCGGGCCCCTTCCTAACCATGCGCCCTGCCATGCCCAAGGCGCGCTGCAACACATCCCGCCTGCTGCTCATCTCCCCTCTTAGCCCCACCTTGGACTGCGCGAGCGTGTTGATGAGCTCCTCGTCGTCCAGGATGTTGCCCGAGGAGGCGGACAGCAGCGCCAGGATGCGGTCCTCGATGTCGGACAGCTCCTTCTTCATCTTGGCGTTGGACACCACCAGCTGGCTCTGTGGGGTGAGGAAGAGGGAGCGGGAGGAGGTGAGGGCGGGGGGGCATGCAGAGGTAAGGCGGATACGTGCATAGGCATTTACGGAGGAACAGGGCATGGAAACGTCCCGTACAAAACTTTCTTCCCATCCAGCCCTGCTAGCTCACCTTGAGGTTGGCCAGGTCGGGCCGCTCCTGCGTCACCACTGTACCCAGCAGCTGGTCCTCCAGACCCTGCCGCGGGGAAGCAGTTGCGTCAGCAATGGATGCGAGTTGCCGCAATGGTACCGTGGCAGCGCGATTGCCAGTGTGGAAAGTACTGATGGCAGCAGGCGAGCTTATAACAAGCAACCCAAGATGCATGTCGCAAGGTGCGCATCCCCCTCACACGGACTCCCTCTTCCCCTGGCGTACCTCCGGCGTGACGAAGAAGTTGAGCAGCGACACCTTGACCGATACCTCGGGTGCATAGTGCGGGTTGCGCAGCTTGGTGGTCATGTAGAAGCGGAAGTCGGGGTGGTAGGGGATGATGTTATCACCAATCTTGATCACCTCGCTACCGCCCTGCTTGAACGTTTGCTTCAGAAGCAGCGGCTCCAGGGCAGCGTCAAGAGTCTCGCCGATGTTTTCCAGCAGCACTGCAGCGGAGGAGCGTGGTTTAAGGGTGTTAGGCTACATGCATGCCTAGCCATGGGACAAGCTTTCTGATGGCAACCCGAGCGCGAAGACCACAACACGCCAAATTGGAACCCAGACTGTATGCATGGTGGATCGGCACGTGGAAAGGCGTGGGATCACGTGAAAAGGTGCGAGCCAAGTGGGTGGAGCCAAGCAAGAGTGGTTGGTGCAGCACCCTTGCCATCCGTAGGCTCCTGCAACCCTCCGCCCCCACCGCCTTACCAGCACGTCCGAAGCGCACTCCGTTCTCCAGTGTGCGCAGGAAGTCCCTGTCGGAGAGCTTGATGACGTCCAGCCCGCTGTCGCGCTCCATGTTCTTGATCCACTTGTTGGCTTGGCCCTGCAGCGGAAGATCAAGACCCAAGTTTGGAAACGCGCGGCGCTATACATGTTATGGAGGCTGCTTGAGGCAATGCCAAGGGGGGCGTGAAAGCTAGACGGCTAGCCAGCGGGACGTGTCCCCCACCTGTGGGTCGATCATGAGCGGCCAGCGGCGCGCCTTGGACACGATAATGCCGTTCTCCACGGACTGCGTGTCGGTAGGCAGACCCGCGATGGTCCACGACCGGACTTTGACAGGGTCCTGTGGGGGCAGGAAGGTGGAGGTGGGAGGGTGAACACAGATGGCATCCAGGGGGGCATGGTAGGCTCACATTCAGGGCCACATGCCCCGGGCCAGATGACGGAAAGGATGGCTAAGAATCAAGAAGACTGGCAGTGAATAGCCAGCGACCGACACCATGCGCTTTCATGTTCAAGACGTACTGACCTGCAGCGTGGTGAGCAGAGATGCATTGGGTGTCGCGGGCACCCCTGCCTCCGTGAGGAAGGTGCTCCACTCCGCCAGCAGCGCGGAGCGGTAGAGCGGCGTGAAGGGGCCCGAGTAGGCAATCGTGGCCGCCGACAGCACCACATCGCCCACCACGTTGACAAGATCCGAGCTCAGCTGGTCAACAGTAGCCTGCACTCATGGGTGAACAGAGCGGGGAAGCGAGTTATGGGGCAGTCAGGGAAGAGCAATACCTGTCAGCACAGGAAGGACGGCCGCTAAAGCCACCCCCATAACTCCAAGCCACTACCCCCATGCACAAGCGCCCCAAAGTCTCACCTGCCACCGCACCCTCTCGCCACCCAGCCCGCCAATCAGCTTATCCGCGCGCTGCAGCTGCACCGTGCAGCGCAGCACCTGCTGCGCCAGCGAGGCCTTCTTGGCGGTGGCCTCGTCGTAGTCTGTCTCCAGCGCCGCGATCTTGTCCTCCACACCCTTCAGCTTGTTCTGCGCGCCCCGCAGCGCCTCCATGGTGGCGTTCAGCTGCTCCTGGGCCGCCGACAGCGCCGCGCGCTTGGGCGCCACGGAGAGTGCCACGTTGTGGTAGACGTACATGGCGCGCACCCACATGCAGATGGAGGTGCAAGCCTTGGACACCTTGCTGATGGCCTCAGCAGTGAAGTCGTCGCGCTAAGGGAAGAGGGGTGGGGCGAGGGAGACGGTTGTGAGGAACAGGATGGGAGTTCAAGTGGGGCTGGGAGGATAGACATGGGTAAGATGAGGGACGAGCCGTGAAGGTGGACGCGGTACATTGTCTGATGACGCCGCAAGCCGCACTGCGCATACCTGGATGTAGGGTTCAATCTTCTTGATGACGTGGTCAGGGATGTTGTCCTTGTCGTACGAGAACAGGCTTTCCAAGAACTTTGTCGGGTCGTTGAGCAGCTTCTTGGCGGGCTCCCAGTAGTCAATAACCTGAGAATGCGGCAGGTTTGCAATACGTATGTTATCAGGACGCTATCAGGCCGACTTGGTCATGAACGATATGCCGCCATCCTAACCATGCCAGTCACGCGCACCCATTCTGCTCAGCCTCCTTCCGCGTACGGTATCCCTTGCCCAGGACCCTACCTTCTTGCCGACGTTGATAGGGTCGTTGATCATCTTGGGCTTCTCATCGAACATGATGCAAGTCGCCTCCATGACAGTGCGCACACCTGCGGGCGGGTTCTGCAGCGACTTGACCTCCACGATGTCGTTGCGACTCAGGTTCTTAAGTGACTCCAGAGCACGCTCCAGAGCAGGAAGCGCCTCGTCCAGGTCGCGCTGGGCGTCCTCGGCAATCTGCTTTGCGCGTGCAGCCTACATGGGAGAAAATGGAGCGAAAAGAAGCCGTCAGGGTAAGCGGGAGGGGCAGCAAGGCACCAGGCAGCAAACCACATCCAAAAACCCAGCCCAAGCGCCCACCAACCTGTTCGTTTGCATCCTTCTCCTGCTGCTCCACGACCTTCTTGGTCTCATCCGCCTCCTTCTTGTCGTTCGTGATGACCACCATCATGTCTTCCACCTCCTTGGCTGTGGCCGCCAGCACCGGCTGCAGGTCCTGAAGCTCCCGCTGCATCACCTCTACCTGCGCCGCCGTGTTCAGCAGCTTCTGCAGCCCCACCTCCAGCCGCCGCCGCTTCTCGCTGATCTCACTGCGCTTGTCGCCCAGCAGCTTGATGAAGGTGGTGAGTAGCTCCAGGTAAGAGGTGGGTGTCACGTAGTTATACCTGGGGAGGGGAGGGGAGGGTTGGTAAGGACCGGACATGAAGCACCCGGTGGGGAAGGTGGTATGCCGACGAGGATCAGAAGCTCGAACAGGAGTAAAACTGCCCGCCCCACCTGCGCAGCTCCTCGTAGAACTTCTTGCTCTTGCGTTCCACGCTTTGATGCACACCCACGCAGCAGTCCACCACGCCACGCATGATAGCCCCGCTGTCGTCGCCAAAGTCCACGTCTGCGATTCAGTAAAGCACGCCGCAGGCAAGTTGAAATAAGGGTCACGAAGCAGGCAAACAAGATTGCTAAGCTGGGCTGAAAGACTGCAACGCCTGGCAATACCTCTTCACATGCAACGCTTCCTGTTCTTATCAGTACTAGCAGCCGTTACCCTAGCAGGCAGCACCCACGCACCGTTATAGAACGAGGTGGCAACGCTGCGCAGCGCCTCGTCCGGCCACTCCCGGAACCAGTCGATGGTACAGCAGTTGACGAGGGACGGGAACATGCGCAGGCGCTGGCGGAAGGCGTCTCCAATGGGCGAGAAGCACAGCACGAGATGCAGGTAGGCGCGCACCCGGTTAACAAACGTGGTGGCGATGCCCATCTTTGTAATGGGCAGGCCGGCGGCCGACATGATGGGGCGCATGGCGTTGGCAATGGCCTCTTGGTCGTCATTGGCCCACAGGTTAGGAACCTGAGAGGGAGGGGCAAGGGAAAGGGTCAAGGGACGAGCCGTACGACAAATGAAAACGGCATTGAGCACGGGCGGGTACACTAGACTGCGCTAGCTTGCGGAGAACGAGTGATTGCCGGCCATGCGCAAAGAGAGCAGCCACCGGCCGGGTCTGTAGCAGGGGCTCGTGCTTACCTCTCCGCTGTTAAGGATATTGTTAATGTCCTCCAGGAAGTTCTCCTGCACGATCTGTGTGTCCGTGAATAGGAACACCGTGTCGCGGCCGTCCAGACCCGCCTTCTTCAGCACCCGCCGCAAGTCATCACGCCACTCGTTGGGGCCGTACCTACAACACCGAGGCATGGGCCACAAAGTTGGCAAGGGCGGACATGTCTCGCATCCCACCCTTCGACCTGAGTACCCCATTGGCCTTAGTACAACCCCCAACCTCATGCGCACTCACCCCTTCGCGATCTCGATCTGCACCACCTCGTACTCCTCCATGAAGGCCGCCAGACGCGTCAGGCTCTGCCGCCCGGAGCCGCCTACTCCCAGAAGCAGCGCATTGCCCAGTGGCAAGCGGATGACACTGCAAAGCATCAGTAAGCAGCGGGCATTATGGACTGGTGGTACGTTACAAATGAGGCGTACGAAAGCATATTATGTTATCTTACCCCTTCCCGCAGAACCCTTCCGAGAGCTCACCGTGTAATCCTGCTGACGTGCTCGATGGCGTCCAGGAACATGACGAGCTTCATGGGCGCGGAGGACACCGAGTTGTAGTCGTCCAGATACTCCTCCACCACCCTGACCAGCCGAGGCAGGTCCGTCACCTGGCTGTACACGCGCGGGTCGGCGCCGGGAACCATGAAGTCACCGTAGATGAGGCGCTGTGTGGTGACCACGTCGCCGTACGAGCAGTCGAAGTTTTTCCGGAGCAGCTCCTCCTGCTGGCTTCGGAACCAGCCGTGGTCCTCGTCGTTGATGAGGCGGTCCTCGAACACGCGTGAGCATTCGTGCAGCCACAGAGACAGCACCTGCGCAGTGCACGGAGGGTCGCATGTCCACGTGGGTGCTATCATCGCCGCCATCAGTGGCAAAGCAGCAAGAGGTAAAGATAGAAATGGCATAGGCAGCGCGCCTGCTCTAAGCCCCGCAACCCCCAGCATAAGCCGGACAGCGCGCGCACCTGCATGGGATTCCCGGTGGACCTGGGGTCGGCGCGCATGACGCCCTGCACCACCTTGGACAGGTCACGCAGGTTGAAGGTATAGTGCGAGCGCGAGGGGGTGGGCAGCAGCTCCGCGCGGATGGCGTTGTACAGGCGCACCGTGGCGTCCACCAGCAGCTCAGTAAGACTCTGGATGGGCTCCGAGAAGTACTTCCTGCGGGGCATGAGGAAGGGAGGTGTGAGGGTGTATGCAAGGGAGGAGGGTTCAGGTCTTGAGACAGGGTATGCATAGAGGTATGTTGCCGACGGGCGTGGACTACGGTTGCCTGCATGGTGGCGGCCGATGGTTTGCGAGAGGTGAACCTGCGCCCGGAAGCTTCATGGTGGCAGGTAGTGCAGGTGAGAGGCACGCACCTGAAGAAGGCGCCCAAGATGGTGGTGAAGATGCGGGCAACGCTGCCATCGCTCATCTCGGCGAAAGAGATGAAGTTAAAGTGACGCAGCAGACGGTTGGTGACGGGGTTGCGGCCGCCGCCGGGCGGGCCCATGGCCGCCACGAATTGCGTGTCCACCACGGTACGGAAGGGGCAGGGGGGCTTGCGCTCGTACCTGCAACAAAAGGACATGGTTACATATGGCCGAGGAGGCGTTTCATGATACGGAATTTTAACATCAATAGCGTCCAAGCAGCAAGGGTGTGCAGAAGAAGGCGGGAGCTGAGGGAGGCTTCCTTGTCTTACTCACCATCCGCCATGATCCATCCACTGGCGCAGCAGCTCGATGGGCGGCTGCGCAAAGTACTTCTCACGCTGCGGCATGTTGAGGTCATCCACGAAAACCACGTAGCGCTTGCCAGCGGGCGGGCCGTACACGCCCTTGCGCCGCTTATCCATCTTGGCGTCCAGAATGTCCTGGAAGCGGGAATAAAGGGAGAAGAGGTAAAGGGGTGAAAGGAGTCGCTTAAGCCGAGGCAAACCAGTACACTGAGCCTATTGAGGGTCGAATGAGGGTGAACGACAAGGAATTTGCGCCAAGGACTAGGGGCAACAGCTAAGAAGGACTAGGGGCAACAACTAAGAAGGCCGCCGTAAAGCAATCCCGTTCCCACCTGTGTCTGGTTAGCTGAGGTGCGTGCTGAGAACGTCATGAAGAGCGGCTGCACCTCCGGTGGCATGTCGTTAAGCAGCTTGTTGGCGACGTTGAGGGTCTTACCGGTACCCGTCTCACCCACACACAGCACGTGGCGCTGCGCCGCAACCAGCCTGCGTGCACGCGTTGGCAATCGCGTTACAAGTGAAATTCCCGTTGGATGAGGCTATGCCAATTCCCCTTGTTTCCACGATGTGTCCAGTGCTGGCGCGCCATATGCGAAACGGCAAAAGTGCACAAGGCCCAAGGGCACCGTCAGGTCAAACCCAGCAATCACACCCAGCCCCATCTCCTCACTTGTCGACCAGGTAGGTGTAGCGCACGGTATCCGAGGTGGGCACAATGATCTCCGCAAAAGGCCGGTCGGGATCGCACTTGAACTCCGGCACCGTGGCCATCCACACCACCCAGCCGCTCGACTGGTCCATGGTGTACGATCCGTTGACGTCGTACACCCAGTCGTACACGGAGGCCGACTCGGGCATCATGGCGCCATCGATCAAGTCCAGCTGCGAGGGGAGTGTTGAGTTTCGGTAGGCCTCAGCCCAAGACAGGTAAACTTGGAAGCAGAGCCACGATTTACATGCGGTATACGGTAAGAGGACGCTTGCAAGGTCCTAAAGGCAAACCACCTTCATGCTTCATTCGTATCCGCTAACCATGCTGCACAAGGTGAAATAAGTTGCTGCTACATTAAGGCATATGCCATGTAGTATGACCAAGTACCTGGCTCGCAGCGACCTGCTTCCTGAACCAGTCGTCAAAGAGGTGCCTGCCGGCCTTGTCGCACGAGGCGCCGATGCTCCACACCACGCTGAACAGCATGAGGCTGGGCAGCATGGACGCCTGGGCTGCGCTCTCCTCCGGTGTGGGTGGCTCCGCGCCCTCGTCGCGCTCGAATGCCTTCATGAGCGCGTCCATGAGGCCGAAACATGATGCTACCAGGTTGTTGTTCACAGTGGCCACCGTCTCCTGCATGCGGCAGAGAGAGGAAGGGTTAGGAAGGCATACTTGCATGCGAGCGACAAGGAGGGCATATGCCGACGACATGGAGGCTAGCCGAAAGCCTCCGCCCTAACGCACGGCCTTAAACGCCCTTCACTGTAATCCAACTTCCTTCCTTTTCCCTCCCTCCTCCCATTGCACGCACCTTCAGCGTGCGGCGCAGGAAGCGCAGACCCTCTGGCACAAGCGCGTTGAAGATGGCTGCCAGCACGTCCCGGTGCTCCGCCACGCCGGGCGGCAGGCGACCCAGCCAGGACTCCAGCAGCGGCTCCAGACCCAGCGCCGAGGGCTCCATGTACACCATGCCGCAGCGGGACACGGTGGCGGGGGAAGCCACTGCAAGGTCCTCAACCTGCGGAGGGCCGCCAGGAGCCAGTGTGCGTTATGGATGCGAAACTGGAAAGGTCAACTGGTACTTGCGTGCCATAAGAGCAGGGAAGCCCAATGCTAGCCGCCATTGCCTTCAACTCGCGATGTACCAATACCCCTACCAAACAGCACACAGCTAGGCTCACCTCGAACATCATGGTCATGGAGGGGCTCAGCTGGATAATCTCGCCGCTGACCAGGCAGAGCTTCTTGTTGTCGTCCAGCACGGTGTTCATGTTCTCAATCCAAACCGCATCCACCGGGCCGTCGAACATGATCCACTTCTTGTCGGGCTTGGGGTCCTCCGAGCACTCGCGCATGTAACAGGCCAGCACGCCGTCCGTCCACTCGTGTGTGTTCTCATCAAACTCGCCGTACAGCTGGCCCATTGTAATGGACTTGGGGTTGAGAGACACCACGCGCACACGCTCGTATCTGCCATGGGAAACAGGGCATTATAAGGTTAGCGGATGGCGCAATCAGGGGAGAAACCCGAAACAGGAAACCCAAATGGGGTCCTTCAACACCGCAATTCCCAGTCTCTGTGGCATACATACGTGCTACGGCTTCAAATATCAGTAACTCACTTGGGATCTCCAGCCGCTGCAAGCTTTGTCATGGCTCGCTGTAGCGACCGGTAGCAGCACGTCTTGCCGCCCATGGTGGGGCCCACAAGCATCAGACCGTGCCGTACGATGGTGGTCTCGTACAACTGAATGACCTTAGCCACAAACGGCTCCACTGCCTGGATACCCATCTCGTGGCACGAGTCGCCCAGAGCAGACAACAGGCTGGCATAGTCCACCTGTCAAGGACAAAGGCATAAGTTGCAAATTTATGCTAGTTGCAGGACCATCTTCTCAAATAATAGCTCATCATGGCAAGTAGAAAGCATTGTCGTACACCAGCACAATAAAGCCGAAAGGCGTCAGGAAATGCCCCTTACCTCCGGCATCTTCACCCCTGGGAAGAGATCGGTGATGATGCCGTTAAAGAGCGGCAGGTCGTGCGACAGGAACTTGGGCACGTTGACGTCACGCAGCGCGCGGAGCAGCAACACCTCCTCGTTGTCATCGGGGAACTCGCGCTTGAGGTTGCCAGCTGCCGTAATGACCGACTTGACGGCACGCATGCCTGTGAAAGTGCATAAGAAAAAGACGATTATGGTACAGCGTGCTGATGCCGCAACCCAGTAGACCTCGTTCAGATCAGAGCCGTACATGTAAAGTCCCAACACTAGAGCAATGAGGCAGCGTATCCAAACATGCGCACCCACCGTAGTCATAGTGGTCCTGGCTGGAAAGCTGCTCTGAACAAAGCTTGAAGGTTGCCACCATCTTGCGCGCCAGGTCCTTGCCAGCGCGATAGCCATAGCTGTAAAGGCAGATCTCCGCAATGAGCGCGTAGTCGGGCACCATCATGGCGCAGGGGCGGAACAGCGCCTTCAGGTTGTCAGGCAGCTCGGAACGGCCTGGCGTAGCGGGAATAATGACAGTGGTGTACGAGAGCGTCACGGAACTGAATCAGGCTTCCGTATTGTACAGCGAACGCTTCTGTTAGGATGCATACGGTGCAACATAAGGACGACCAGGATGCGCTGAATGTGCCCAATGCTTTTTGCGATGCTGGCTTTGGCGCTTCCGTACCCGCATATCCAGGGTTCATGGTGATGTAGACAGAGCAGGAGGGGTTCAGGTCGATCTCTGTGTCCTCAAAGATGAAGCGCTTCACCTTGGCCTGGATGGCCAACTGGATGGTTAGGATCTGCGGGCGGCAACAGGCACGAACCGTAAGAACATGACATGACAGCAGGCTGTTTGGATGCATCCTTGGCTCACAGAAGTACGGCGAACAGAGTGCGGGCGCAGCTCGATGATGGGCACTTAATGTAGCTCAGCTTGCCTACAACCCGCCCCTCCCGCGCCCTCACCTGCTGTGCCACCACCGACAGCACCTCCAGGTCAATGCGGTTGAACTCGTCAAAGCAAGCCCAGGCGCCGCTGCTCGCCAGACCCTTAAAGAACTTGGCCATGGCCTGGTAGTCCAGCCCGTCCGAGCAGTTGAACACAACGCACTGCTTGGCCAAAGCCTTGGCGAGATCCTTGGTGGTCTCCGTCTTGCCCGTGCCTGATTGTGGATGGCATGCGCTACGTTAGGGTGGCGCCCGGTACTCAAGTGGACTAGGTTGCCTTAGTCCCCACCTGACCCCCACCTGCCTAAGTTAAGCCCTTCCCTCCAAAAATAAAGCCACCTAAAGCGGAAGGCAAGCGAAAGCTGACACGCAGTTGGCTTTGTCCCCTCCTGCCAGTCGTCGGGCCGCAAGCCCCCTACCTGCTGGCCCAGCAGGCGCGCCTCCTAGGTTCATGTGCATGGCGCTCATCAAGGTCATGTAACAGCGATCGGTGAGAGGCGTAATGACCAGGCGGGGAGTGTTGCCCAGGTACTCGTAGCTGCGACCAGGAAGGGTGGGTTAAGGTAAGGGCGCGTTAAATCCCTTGCTTAATGCCCAGCTTTGTCCTGTCTCAAGACCTCCTCAAGTCGAAGTATCGAACCAAAGTTCTTTCCCTTTATGGCGCGCAAAGCCCCTTTCTGCTCACCCGTACGAGATGCTGGCCTGCACCATGTCCACGTATACGTCGTCATTGCGCCAGTAGTAGCGCAGGCGGGACACCCACTCAAAGTCCGTAATCTGCAGCATGGCAAGGTATGGAATACGCGTCATGAAGAGCGTTTCATGGCGAAGACACGCTTTGTCTCATCTATCCCCTCCTAACATAACAGTTGACGAGATATTGCGCTACGCCCAGCGCTGCAACCTACGTTGCGAACTTGTCCCTCTGCAAGCTCCGCCACCACATCCCGCGCGTGCACGTCGATGGTGATGAGCGCTCCAAGCGTGAGGCGCTCCTGGGAGGACAGCCGGCCGCGCACCAGCTCCGTCAGGTCCAGCAGATCGCCGGAGCAGCGGTCCAGGTAGGCGGGTACCGTGCCACCTGCAGATGACCCATGGGACGTCGCGACTCAGCAGCGCTGCGTTTGTGGATGCAAGCAGGTATGCCTTATACAGCAGACCTTCCGTCATAAAGCCTGCAGACTTTCCGCTTGCCACCAACATGCAGCTCGGCCGTACCCATTTCATGTGCAGCAGCGTCCCCATACTCACTTGTAATGGCCTCCTCGACCTCCCTCGACCAGAAGATCGCACTGACTGCCAGCACCACCATGGCAGGCCACTCGCGCACCCACTGCTTGCGCTCCCGCTGCGTATACGCCGCCATGCTCAGCATCACCTGCTGCCGCACGCTGCTGCGCATGCGGCGCTCCACCTCGCCTGCGTAAGGGGGTAAAGTTGGTAAAGGTAAGCCATCGGCGGCCGACAGTCTAGTGCTATGACGGGAATTGCGAGGCACAGTCACCCCCTGAAGCCTCACTGACTCACCCAGCCAAATCTCGACGTTGCCCTGCGGCATCATGGTCTTGTCGAAGGGCACCTTCTCCTTCTCGCGGCTGTTCATGGCGCTGATCTCCCCGCCCGGACCGAAGTCCAGACTCTCGATGGCCTCGAAGCACTTGCGCAGGTGAGGCTGCAAAGGAGGAACGGGTGAAGCATTAAGCAAAGCAGTAGCCGGAAATACCAGCATACTCCGTTCGATGTCCACAGCATACCATAGCTCACTTCGCCTCCCCTACCCCTCCTTCCTATGCGAAGAATCCGTGGCATCTAACCTGCACTGCCAATGGGTTCTTGGTTTGCGACAGAATCTGCAGCAGCTCGTCGTTGGAGAGGAAGAAGAAACGCGCGAAGGCGAGGCGCTTGGTCTCCAGATACTCCGCCAGACCCTTCTGCACGCTCTCCAGCAGCTTGTTGGCCTCGATGAACGAGTCCAGCAACTTCTGGGAAGAGCACACCTGTGAGGCGGTGTGAAAAGAGAAAGGAGGTGGGTATGACGACAGCAGCTGCCTATGTCATGACTTACAGAGTGGAAGGGAAACGGTGCAATTGCAGAAAAGGACAGCAATGACAACCCCCTTCACGCGCATCCCGTACCCACACGAGACCTGTACCCACCTTGAGCACCAGCGGATTCCTCTTGGCCGCCTCCGTGGTCTTCCGCCACATGCGGTCCACGGTGGCGAAGCGCTTGCCCTCCAGCGGCAGCTGCTGCATGATGTCCTCGGAGCCGAAGATGGGCTCTAGGTACATCCACTGCCGCTGCAGTTGGATCCACTGGTCCAGGATTTCGCTCACCTGGCGGAGGAAAAGAGGGCACAGTGCGGTTAAGGCGCTAGCTTGGTGTACCGTTAATACACGTCAATCCTACAACCGGCCAATCCTAACTCCAGCAACCCACAGCCCGCAGCCCGTGCCTGCACCCACCAGCGTGAGTTGCTGGTCCCACTTGGTGATGCGCTCCTCGAAGGGTTTCTTGTAGGGGCTGAAGGCCATGGACTGCGTCATAGCGATATGGTCGTCCAGCATTTGGCTGATCTGGTCGTCCACCTTGACCACGTACGTCTTGGTCTCGCGATAGTCCAGCACCTGCATCTCTGCGGTCTCCCACTCCCGCTGCATCTTGTCCAGGGCCTGATGGACAGGGGACCCGGTGTGGCATGGTTAAAGATTGCGGGGTAAACAACCCTATCGTGTGGGCGCGTGCAAGCCAAACAGGGCTTTTGGAGTGGCCAACAATCTTGGCTGCCTTCCGGACGGATGTGCACGAAGGTTCACAGCGCACAGGCTAGGCAGGAAGTCAGCCCTAGTCCTCAAGCCGTCGTCCCCACCTGCTCGATGGCGTACTCCTTGCCCGCCACGTCCGCCACCTTAGTGATGACAGGCAGGTGCGACAGCAACCCCATCTGCGCTCCCTGGGACAGCGTGAAATTCTTGTCGGGATGCAGCCGGAAGCCCAGTGAGCTAGACAGCTGGTCCCAGTGCCGGTCGCGCATGCCGGGGTTGCGAAGCGCCTGCAGAGGTATGCGAGGATAGGGGGTCAGCAAACCAGATTCAAAAGGGGTGATGAGCAGGGGTGATCTGCTAGCGAACATGATTGCGGGGTTTAAGGGCCCTCCGCATTCCAATCGCTTAAAAAAACCGTGTACCTCTCGTTCAAGAGCGCGCGCATACCTGGACCAGCGGCACGAACTTCTTGAAGCCCTCCACCTCGGAGCGGATAACATCGCAGTTGTCCGCGCAGCGGTCCAACCCGCGCTGAATGAACACCTTGCCGGTCTTGTACAACACCTGTGAAAAGCAATGTCGCGACGGCCGGGTTGCACGCGTATGGCAGACAGAACGCCACGTATACGGTACGCCTTGTACTGTGTCCCCGTGTGCACGGTGTCTAGTGGCAAGCTTGAGCGAACCCCGCAAGAGGCGCACCTTGTACGCATTGGTGACCTCCCGCTCCACCGTTTCCCCATGCAGCTTTTCCCACGAGTCGTGCATCCAGCTCTTATGCAGCCGCCGCCAGTTGGACGCAGTAGTCCAGAACTGCGTGAAGAAGCGGTATTGAGGAGGCGTCAACAACGTAATATTGGGCATCAACGACTACGTTTTACCGCATGATGGCCCTAATCCGGGAAAGAAGGCATGCATGGCAGCAAGTCACAGCGGTGCACCAATCGGGACTGCACCAATACGGCCCCTTTCCGTGCTTTTGCGCCGTGACAAGCGCCGGCACTTCCCCCTCCGCGCCTCACCTGCAGGAAGGGGTCGAACGTCTCGATGACCTTGCGCAGCGGTGTGTAGTCGGTGGGCGGCAGCCCCAGTAGCGCCTCGCGCGAGTTGAAGACGACGGCGTCCTTGTCGGCCTTGCGGAGCCGCTCGTCAACGCTGCGCACCTCCGCCACCACTGCATCCATCTTGCTGAGATCCGTATACAGCCCGTAATTGCTGACCAGCTGCGGGACGGGATGGCCATAATGGTGAGCGGGATACATAAGGAGCAATTGGCTAAGAGAAAGGGAGATGAGCGTCGTCGGGCTGGCTTGTAAGGAGGAAGGGATAGTGCTAGCGACACATGCACGCATGCGCAATTCTCCAACTTAGAACACGGGCCATTCCCTTCAGCCCTGTCCGGTGCGCACCACTTGCAGGTCTCCAATGGTGTCCTTGAAGATGTCCTGCTCGATGGTCATCTCCTGCTTGTAGCGCGCCTCGTCGCTGGAAAGGACCTACGGGGGCATGAAGCAGCGCGGAAAGGTGAAAGAGCACGTGTGGTTAGCCGCTGCGCTGGGTGTATCCTCCATCATAACTTTCAGATTCCGCCTTTAGTCCTTGCCATCCGCCCTTGCAGGGCGCACCCGCGACTTGCCGCAACTACAGCTACGCAAGTCCAGCCCCTGCGCCAGATCCACCCACCTCGAGCTGCCTCTCCGCCTGGCGTGCCAGCCGCATGCCCCAGCTCTCTCCCGCGAACTTCTCCCGCAGGTCCTCCTCGGGCAGCAAGTAGCGCAGCTGGTCAAGCAGCTCGTACCAGCCGCGCTGCCCCTCCACATCCGCCATCAGCTCAGAGATCTGGGGCCCAGATGCGTGTGCATAGCGACATGGAGGGGTTGGCGACGTGCTTCGAGGGAATGCACTGAAGCCGTAAAATGCGGTGCGTCGTTCTGTTCCTTAGCCACCTACGAACAGTAAACGGCCCGCGTGGCCATGCCAACATGGTACCTACCTTGTTGGGCAGCTGCTCAATGTATTTGCGCTGCTCATCCACATCCTCCAGGTTGTTGGCCTTGGCCTGAGGGCGGGTGGAGGAAACGGCAAGAAATGATCACTAAGAGGTACAGGAGAGACGCTGTAGGGCACCTTTGGTATTTGCTAAGGAACACGCATGCTAAACGCCAGGGCGTGGCGCGAGAAAGCACACGTGCAACAGGCACTGTCCCCCAAGGCACGGACCTTAAGGGTACGGTCAATCTCCGCGAATTTGGACGAGACGGACGCCATGGCGCGGCGTGGCACACGTGCTGCCAGCAGCTGTGGGACAGGAAGGGAGGTTGGATCGTAAGCAGAGGCAGAGGCGGCGTCCGTGGTTAGCATGGTCAAGGGGAAAATAGCAGCTTGACCGTTCAACAGGAGCCTTTAACCGCCTTACCTTGAGCAGCCCCACCAGCCGCTCTTGCTTCTTCACCAGCAGCTCACGCGTCTATGGAGGATAGGGTGGGACATGGCAGGAAAGACTGGGCCTGAGATACAGCATTAACATATCAACGGGACAAGTCGGTTATCAAGCTTGCCAGGTAGCAGCTGCATCAAGTAGCCCACACTCGTACGCACCCATGTCTACCCCCATTGCTCATAGCACGTGCCAACTACCAGCCAATCAACGCGCCGTCCACTTCCCGGCCCGCACCTTGGCCAGGTTGACCTGCACCAGCCCCAAGGAGATGCCGGTGGGCACGCTCTCCAGCAGCGCATCCAGGTCCGCAGAGGCGCGCTTAATTTCAGCGCGCACCTCCGTGAGCGACAGGTCGCCACCCTTGGCCTCCAACACAGAAACGTAGCTCTCCACGTTGAGCTGCAGCAGCGGGATGTACCTAGCGAGGGAAGGTGGCCGGGAAGCGTGTATGGCTGACCGCTTGCATGGGCGTTGGTGGTTGATGAATGGTGGCCAGGATGTTTTTACGCGGAAGGGGAGGGGGCGAGGGTGATACACGCAAAGGCGCCCTATCAGGGCGAGCTTGCCAGTTGCCACCCATCCCGACGAGAATCTGATGCACTTTCAACACTACTGCAGCCATGCAAGGAATTGCCAACTTCAACCGAAACTTACTTTCCGAACTTCACCATGTACTCGTCCACTGGCACCAGCGCGGCGATAAGGGAGGCACGCAGCGAGTCACGTAGTCGCACAACCCCCTCCTCCTGCGATCACAGTGGAAAGTTCAATGCTTAATGGGAAGGATGTGACAAGCTCTTAAGGAACCCAATCGAATGCGAGCACTGCGCGTTGGAGGGATGTGCTGCATGAGCGCTTGTATGGGCTTAGTTCTGTATTCATCGGTTGAAACACAACAGCTGCTGCAAGTACGCTCACGACAGCCGGAACCCCATAATTCATCAGGCGCACACCTGGGGGTGTACAGTCGAGAGCACAGGAGCGGTGGCCCAGAAGAGGTTCTCCATAATGGCCGGCTCCAGCGTGTGCAGCCCCTGCGTGCGAGCTGCGCGGACAGGAACGGACAGATGAACGCAAGCAGGGGCATTAACGAACAGGGCCGGGAAAGCTAGGCAATCACAAAGGGAGCGACAACAGTTGCATCCGGGGCTCCCTTCCCTCCCAGCACGCACTTATTGCTGCGTCGAAAAGCGCCATGACCTTGGTAACGATGGCGTCCGGCGGCGTGCTGTATATGAACCGCGTTGCCTCCTTGTTGGGGGTGAGGTCCAGCGCCAATAGTGGCGGCTTGCGGCCCGCCGCAGGCAGCTGCGCCGCGGAAGCGGCGTCCTGGATTTCGACCAGGCTGGTGCTGTGCACGATCACGCGGCGTGGGCAGCAACCCTGGGATTGTGGGATTTGGGGTAGGACCAGTCAGGGTTGAGTACGGAATAGGAAGAATGCTGTGTCAGAGGCACCACCACAGCTGCCTTTCCCCCATGCATGCAGCCAAGACCCAGAAATTCGCACCAGCAAGGCAACGGCAAGCCCACGCCCACCTGCACGAACGCCGCAAATTTTGCAAGGCTGTCCTCCACCAGCCCCCTCATGGTATCCTCCATTACAAAGCGCGTCAGCGTGAGGAACTTGCGTAGCTTGGAGAACTCGTAGGTCTCCATGGAGGCCTCCCCCAGGTTGAACCAGCCCTTGCCCACATCCTTAAAACTGTTGCGAATAGCGTTGCGCAGCGCTACACACCACGAGTCCTTTAGGTAGTTGCCGGCGCTGTCCAGGGCGGCGATCTGGAGGCGGCGGTTCAGCATGCGCGGGTTGTCATGCGCGGCTTGAGGAATGTGCAGAATTAAGTATCGGGCAATGCACGATGGAGTGCGAGGGATTAAGGGAGGACTGGTATCAAAAAGTAGGACTTCCATGCGCACCTGCCCCTGCTCCAGCTCCTCCAGCCTGGCTGACTTGGTGTAGTGGGTGTTGAAGAGGCACATCTTGGCGGCCTTTGCGCACTCCACCTTGATCTTGGAGATGGCCGTGATGACCTCTGGCTTGGTCAGCAGCGTCTTAAAGCTGAACTCGCTGAACTGCTGCGGGAAGTCCAGCGCGCCCTCCACGGGAACCGTGCCCTGGGACGCGGAAGGGGCCGCAGCAGAGGCATGTTTAAAGCTGGAAGGGACGCACAGGCATGCTGGCAAACCATATATGCAGCAAAAAGGCACGTTCCAATCGTAGCGCTCGCACCTTCTCCGGAACGGGCCGCGGTGGGTCGCGCGGGAAGTCTTCATGGATGGGGATGAGCGGCGCCGAAGAGGCGGGAGCCAGTCGCCCCAGAACCGCAGGCACATCTGCTCCGCCCCCAGAAGGAGTGCCCGCCGCTGCCTCGCGCTCCGCCCGGGCTACATGCAGCGCCGCGTCAAACACGACCTTGTTCATGGTGCGAGCGTACTCGATGTTGACCTGCGCATGCGAGGTATGCAGGTCAATACGCTGACAGGTGTTGTCTGCAGCATGCAAAAAGAGGACGTCGAAACAGTGGCTAAGAGCACAGAGTCAACTTGGTCAAGCCGACAAGGAGTCCTGCGAAACACACTCTCCGATAACTACACCCGCCCTCCCAGACTCAATTAACCCTTTCTTTCTCCGTCCCACCTCCGCAATGAGCGCGCTGGTGTCCATGAGCTTGTCCTTCAGCCGCTTGCTATTGAGCGCGAAGCTCAACATGCGGTTGACCTACAGGTGGCGGGAAAAAAGCAAACGTTATCCCTGTCATGCGGAGATGCGACAAGATTGATGCCGTAATGAGCCTGTACTGCACCGTGCAAATCCTGATCGTAATTTGAAGTGAATAGTCGGAGGTGAATGATCGGGTGAGCGAATGATCTCAGCGGGGCCCCGCAACCCCACCAACCTGCTCGTTGGTTAGCGGCGGGATGTCATCGGTCGGCATGGAGTCGATGTACAGGTTGTACCGCAGCAGCGACTCTGCACGCGACCGGCTGCGATGTGCATCGGCATGGCGCCGAGCAAAGAGCGCTGGGTCCTCAGCGCTGAAGCACACCTGGCAGCGGGAGCCACCGTGCATTTGGGGGCACCAGGTGGTGTTAGGAGGAAGCAATAGCATGATGCGACGATATCCAGGATTGGGGGCCTTTGTGAGCGCACCTTCACAAACCCATGAGAGCCCAAACGTGAAAGCCAAGACACTTGTGTGAACAGGTCCACATGCCCCTTTTCGGTTCTCCGGAGGCTGACCATATGCCGCATCCCGCACCTACCTTGACCCTTGGCAGCCACACAACGGCGCCCTCCTTCTCCACTGCATCTACATCGGCATTCAGACTCCCCGAGGCACCAGTCAGGTAGGGATCCAGCGTTACGCCGTACGAGTTGCTTGCCTCGTCAAAGTCCACGACCGTGCATGGCACCCATGCTGGTTCTCCACCGTCGCCGGTGCCGATGAGGGCCCGCGCTGAAGTGGCTGGGACGCCTGCGGCGACAGACGGGACCATCGTAGTTATCTTATGCGTGAGAACGACGTAACTGCACAAAGGCTGCGGATTGGCCCCTTGCTCAAGCCACTCCGGAACAATCCGCTGGGTCGTCCAAGTGATGGGAGGTGTCGCACAATGCTGCTGCCTGTTTTGTCGCTGGCATGCAAAGCCGTCCCTACCCGTAAGCCTCCATAAGCGGTATGAGGCGGTCACGCACCGCAGCCAGTACCGGATCGGCGAATGCTTTCGAGCATCAGACGATACACACTTTCATGTTACCCTCCCGGCCAAGCCGTTCACCTCCGCTGATTCACGCCTAATCACTTGTCCCTCTTTGCCAACCCGAGCCAGGAACAATAATCTCATCCTAGCTGCAATCCATAATAGCCCACTGCCAAGGCCGTTGCTGAGCTCACCAGGTCGCCTTGGCACCCACTCCTGATGTGTCCGCGTTTCGTAATTGGTGTTATCGAACACCTCCAGTGGAAACAGTTCTACGGGGGGCGCATCCACGCCCTCGCCCTGCACCAGCTTCGCTACGTCCTGTGCTGCAAACTGCCGCCGCTTCCTGCGGTGCGGTACAAGCCATATTGGCAGAACGTACACACACCCAAGTACAGGTCTTTGCGGCTTGCAGCATCTTCGGATTAGCCATGCCGTTGAATAGGATAGAATCCTGAAGCGGCCCCCAGCCACCCCTTACCCCCCGCGTACCAATGGTCCCCCTGTCTTTCGCCCAACGGCTTTCGAAGCAGCAGGTTACTCCCCTCCTACCTCTGAATCAACACCTTTCGGGGTGTCTCTCCGGACCGAGTTTCAAAGGGCGCCATAACCTTAGGCAGCAGGTGGGCATAGATGGCCTCATCTCCCTCCACGTCGTCCAGCAGCTACAGCCGTTTTGGAAAGGAATACTTTACATAGCTTCAGAGTAAGGGAAGCCGTAGGCTGCGCACATACCAGGCTGGCTTGCGATGCCTGCTGGGACGCCTCGCCCAGTCCTTGCGCTGGCAAACTGCTTTCTGCTTCTTGCGGCTGCCTTAATCCAAAGCGAGCTGCATAATAGATATGACAGGTGCGGCTCAGTCGGGAGCTGCAATAGTCTTGCAAACATGCCACTTGAACGCACCCTTGGGCTTGGGCGCGAGGCCCTTGCTCGCCATGACAGCAACTCCTGGCATTCTACTGTTGACGTAAGTTATAATAACGTAGCATTAGCTCCGTCTCTAAGACTGCAAAGCGCCATCGTAAGAAATCGCAAGTATGATATTTACCACTTGTTGCATAAGTAAACCTTTATCAAGGTGATACAATTAAGGAATTGAAGGCAGGCACCGGTGTGTCAGGGTCAACCGGTCGTACGGCTAGCAAGCCAAGACAGTCGCCAAAGGCATGTACATTCAATGGCTGTATGTTTACCGCTGCTGAGTAAGTGTTGAGCTCTTAGAGCAAATCACATAACATAATACTTTCGCTCCAGAGCCACTTTGATTGCACACAGAGAGCAATACTAATTCAATAAATAACGCTAATATGTCATACCACAGCCCGTGCTGGTAATGGCTTAGGTTACTTCCTCTGTCTCCTCGGCGAGGCCGAGTAATGCACATGAGCCGCGGCCAGAGGCTGGCCTCACTAGGCCTAGGATTGCTAGTCGCATGGACTTCTACTTGCTTATTAGCGAACCAAGGAAGAATCCGTAGCCTCGTCCTTCTGGTATGCAGCACAATAATGACATCCATCGTTTCCCGACTACTCGACTTCAACAGCCCGACCTGCCTACTTAACCCCATGAGTGGCCGAATGCAGGCCCCTGTTTTCTCATTTCTTATACTGGGCGTGTATCTACTGGTTCGACTGGTACACGGCGTGTACACATTCAACAGTTACCCGTCTGCCATACCAGAGCTTCATTTGGTAAGCTTCCAACACGCTGTGCGCTCCTTTGCCTTGCGGTTGCTCATAACCTGCCACAAATATGCAGGAGGTTGAAGAGGCTCGTCGAGACCTGGCTAGGAAGGGTGTAAGGTGACCCCGCCCCACAGCGCCGACAGCTAGCCACAGCACGCCTCAATTGCGACGGGCAGAGTAAGATGCTAACACGAAGCTGCAGTGAAAGCGCTACGGTAGCCACCGGCACTGGGCCAACCCCCATGTGGGCTGGCTTGCCAGGCCATGCGTGCGGAAACCTTCGCACATCCCTCTCGGGGAGCAGTTGGCTTGCCAGGCCATGCGGGTTCACCCCTTCACATATACCCCTTGGGGCGCTGTTGGCTGGTCATGCCATGTCCCATGTGGGCTCCTCTGTTGAAGAAGCCCTCCCTTCGCACACCTCATCGTTATCCCATTGGATTGCCAGGCCTTACCTCGTTGGTGGCGAATTCATGTCGTTAACAGTTGACAGTTTTGAGGGTTGCTTGGATTAGGTAGGAACAGACAATTGGCTAGCCACCAGTACTGAGTGGCAAGCTGTTCGTGTTTTCTTCCTGAATAACCTGAGGTTGCGTGTTTTCCCGTCAGGGTATAGTTAAACCCAGCGGAGCGTGCTAAACAGAATGGCGAGCTCTGTTGGGTAATGGGGATAGTAATCATTAACCGTTCCACTCTGATATCCTAAATGCGGAGTCCAGCACGCATGCTTGTATCATGCGTGTGCCAAGGGAAGTCCGGGCTCTAAAGTCTTGGGCATTGCCGGCAGCGTTCAGCCACAGCAAACCTTACATATTGTCCGGCAGCAGGCATTTGAGCTAGTTTCGCATAGGGCATATAGCACTGAGGATTTCGGAGTTGATACTACAGGGTTAGTTAGTCGTAGGAAGGTATGTGCTCGGACTAGCTCCTAACCCGGGTAGATCGGCCAAGAGATACTGACAAGAAAGGACCATGCAACCACATGGAACGCAAGTACAGGCATGTGAAATGGGATGATCGCACTAAGCAAGGGCAACTCATGGTGCCCAGTAACATGCCGCCCACACACTGAGTGCTTGCCGACGGCTCCCTGGTGTCTCGCCTCGCATGTCTAGGAATGTTTCTTAACCATACACAGGGGTATTACTATACACAGGGATATTGATTACCGTACATCATTTCCCCTGTTTCACTCAATACAGCTGTAAGGATTCTGGTATGACGGCGAATCGCCGTCTGGCCTTCGTGTAAGTTGTGACTAGCAAGGTGGCATTGCCGTGACTTGTGTGCTTGTTTGCTGTATGGAAATGCCATCCATACATCCTGGCAGTCCAACTAACGCCGTAGGCATAGCATTCCAGTTCACCATTCGTTAAGTTGTCAGAGCAACAAACACAGACAAGCAGAGATCTTTGCGATGCAGAGCTTGTGCCAGCAGCAGTACTGGCATCGCCATAAAGTTTGGGTTTAAGGGACGACGCCTTATACCGGTATACCACAACGTTGTTTTGTGGATCAACCGAAAACCAGCAATACACCTAGCCTTGCATCCATTTTGTGCACTTCACGATACCAAGCGTACGACGGTTCGAGCGAATTTTGCAAGCAATGGGAAAGATTCTGTTCGCAGCTAGTGCCATTGCAGCCTGACAATCACGTAGTAAATTGTAAAAAAAGTTCGGTTGCTGTAAAGTGAGGCTACCGTATGTCAAAGGACGTCTCAATGCCTAACCACCAGAGTGCCCACTTGCTCTACCTCCTATAGACACTAGTTCGCCTTCATAGTCCTGTAAGATTAGGCTGTCATTCTGGGTAGCTTGTTGTAAAGGCAGGCTAGCAGAGTGCAAGCAGGAGCGAATGCAAAACCCTAAGCCCTAAAAACATTGTAATCTGGAGCAGCCATGACGCGAAACCAATGCAAAGAGGAAAGTGTTCGCACCGTTCTACGCCCGCCTGCGGGAAATATGGCTTCCTACCCCCGCGAGTACCTCGCGACTGTCCGGACCTGCGTCATGAAGGCTTGGCCTGCTTCTGGACCAAATGCAACTAAGTAAGTCTCCAATGTTAGTAGGGGCTACTAGTGGGATTGTTCTTGCGAACTTGCTAGCGTCGGGCTTGAGGACGCGGCCTTCGCCAACGACTAAGCAAGCGACGTAGGAAGAGATCACAGAGACTCGTTTTCATTTGTATTGTTTAGTACTGACGAACATAAATGTCTCCAATGGCAATCCTGTTACCCTGGGTGCGCGGAGCCGTGCGGGCCTCTTGCTCTTCGTTTCCCTTCACACGCAGACGTCAACGCGCGATGAGATCTCCTTGACACGTGCTGCAGAAATTGTCGTTCTTTTCTATGCGGGTCAGGCTATTGAAAAAGGCTCAGCAAACAATACGCCTGCACCCGTCGTCGTCATGCTGGTTCCGTGCACTTAGGGGCTATCCTTGCCTCAGGACAGATAGAAACGCTTACCACAATTATTTCTAATTTCATGTAGACAGCTTGGCTTTTGACCATGGTCTCTAACTCGGTTTACCGGCATCTGCGCGCAGACGAGAGGTGGCCTTGACGCTTCTGTCCGACCCTGAGTTACGGCTCCGTGTTTGCCATCTGGAGGAAATACTACGTGCAAGGCAGCAGCTGGCGCGAATGCAGGTAAGGATAGCAGGGTTGTTCCATGGATGTTGCAAGGGGCGTTTATTTTGTGGAATGCCCTGGAGACATGCAAAAGCATGCTGTTTAAAGCTTACAGTTAAGTAGTTTGCGAGCATTGTGAATACCATTATATGTACCTGGACTACAGCCACGTGCACTTTGTTCGTCCTGCAGGGCAACGGCAATGGGTCGGGTCTACAGTTTGCCAGCGGCTCTGTTGCATCTACAGCAAGCAGCATTGTTTCAGGTACCGTACGAGACCTGCCTCCAGTGCAGTTGCAGACTGCGCTTGCGGACCCGTCTTTCGCAGCGATTTTCGAGCTGGACACCGCCGTAAACGAGCCAGATTGGGGCATGCAGGTAGGGTGAGGGTATGGCCGGGTACTCAATGTATGTCGAGCATTAGTGAGCACAACCGGTAGAAACAGTCCAAACCGGCAACGCAGAAGCGACGGAGTGCCATGCATGTTCGTTGTATTAAATGTATTGATCGCATCAGCCCGCTGGGCACCGGAGTAGGAGATGACCAATCGATAACATAGCAGTAACCGTCAGTTACAAGCCTGCATGCGCTGGAGGAAGAACTAGTTTTCAATTGGATGATGTTGTCTAATGCCCTAACGTTGCAACACCGGTGTTGATTGAAATGCTCTGCACGCGGGCCATGCCGGACGGCCTCGTCTTCTGATTCTGTCTCACATGCCACTGCCCCCCCCACACACACTGTCGTTCAGGTTCTCTGGCTCAACATGAGCCAACTCCGGAGGGAGCTAGGCTTGCCGCCGCCGCCGACACCGCCACCACCCAATCTCGCCACTGCCCCGCCAACACCACCACATGCCGCTACCTCGCCTATTTCGGCCAGCACTATGTCCGGCGCTGCCGCCTTCCCTTCTGGTGACTGCACCTCTCCACCTATCCCAGGTTCAGCTCCGGATCTGGGCGCGCTTCCGTCAGCTGTGGAGTCGCTGTTTTCCAGCCACCCAACTGACGATCAGGATTACGTGGCAGCTGCGGCTTGCTTCTGCCTGCTGATGTCGCGCCGTGATGCTGCTTTGCCGCCGCCGGCTCCCAGCCTCCCGCTAGCGGAGCTTGCTGTACTGTTGCGCGGTTGCGCCTCAGTCGACAGCCGGCTGGCAGCGGCGCTGCAACGCATACAAGGCGGCGGCATCAGCGTAGGCAGCGCCGCGTTCCGCAATGGTGGTGCAGGCGGTTCTGGTCCGCCGGCCGCGCCGCAACCAGCGCTTATGATGCGCCTGGCTGAAGTTCTGGAGTCGCCCCGAGCCAGGCTAGCCGTGCGCCTAAGCGAGCCGTCCTCACGTCCAAGTGAGCGCGTTGCGAGTTTAATGGTGGAGCAACTCATGCGCGCCGGCAGTGGTGGCGTCGCAGCAAAACCGGGGTCAGGCCAGCAGATGCCGCCCACCACAGGGCTGCCGCTGGAGGTTTGGCGGAGCGCTGTGGCAGCCGCTAGCGGCTCTGAACCCGCGGCAGCTGGCACAGCCGAGGAGGGCCTGCCGGTGTTTCTATACGAGTACGAGGCGCCCACCGGCGTGCGCGGAAAGGAAGGCATGGGTGCTCCCGCTCCTGCGCTACGTGACCAGCGCGGTGGCGGCTGCGCCTCCGCAACCGCTGTCCCTCGACTCAGGAGCGGCTCGGCCGCTGCTGCCAGTCCCTCCGCCACCTCAGTGCACACCTCACAGGGCCAGGAACCCGCTAGCCATTGCTCTGCTTACGTCTGCCATACTACGATGCCTGCTTCTGCGCCATCACCGACACAGTCCTCCAAGGTCCAGTCGCTGACATTGAGCAGCAGCAACGGCGGTGGCGGCACAGAGGCCATGTCCCTTGCGTCCGCGGCCTCTGATCCCGGTGTCCCCGATCCCCAGCTACCCGGCATGGAGGCCGCGGAGGCGGCGGGAACACTATTCCGCCGCAACACAGAGCCCCCTGTTGCGGCGGTCGCTGGGGTTGGCTCATCGTACGGCAGCGGCGGCGGCGCCGACTTTGCGTGCTTTCCGGGCCTTGCACAAGGGTTCGGCACGTCGTGGGGCGCCGGTAGGACGTCCCTCGGTGCTGCATGTGCGGCTGCTGGGACCGCAGATGGCGTCGGCCTCTCTCCCGGTGGCTTCAATGGTGGCGCTAGGTAAGCCCTACCTTAAACCTTTTGCCTTGACGTTTTAAGTTGCTTCACTACGTATTTGATCCCACCTGCTGCAGTACCGGTATGCGCGGTTCGGGCCCAAGCTATCAAATACCGACATCTCCGTAACTGGCCCCCTCTTGCTCCCCACTGATGCAGGTTCCCTCTCTTTACCGGCAACCGTAGCGCCGACAACCTTTTCCATAACAGCATTGGCGGTAGCAGTGCTGGTGTCGCCCTCAGCAGCAGCCTGGGGGGTGCCGGCGCCGCTCACTTGTCGCCCCTGGCGGCCTCGCCCGGCGGCCCCACCAGCGAGATCGCCGTACCGAGGGCCATCGCGGATGTGTGGTCGAACGCCCCTGCCGTCAGCGGTGCCGGTGGCGGCTGTACGGCAGCGGTAGTTGGTTCCGCGGACGCAGGCCACGGCGGTGTGTTCTCCATGTCCCCGACGCAGGAGGTGATACCTTGCTCGCGTAGCCGCTTTCTCGCCTAGCTGATGCGGACAGCTTTTCTCACCTGTTGTCTTCTTGGTACCTGCTGTAGTGCTCGCATCCTTCCTTACGCCAGTTCTTGACCGAGGTGTTCCTGTTCCTTCCCGCAGTCCTATTTATGGGAACGCGTGGCCGCCGGTCGCACCGCCAGCAACACACTGCCCGCTGTGCCCGCCGGGACTCGCCCTGAAGCCGCCACAGCCGCCACGGGATCTGGCATGCCCGGTCTCAACACCGGTTTCGGCAGCTTTAGCGGAGGTATGGGCTTCACGAGCTTTGGTGGCGCCTCGGGTATCGGTGGATTGGGAGCCGGAGGGCTGGTGGTAGGATCGGCGCCACCAAACGTGTTCCCGACATTCCTACACAGCGGCTGCGGCGACGTTGTCGGTGCTGGCGGTGGTGTTGGCGCGGGCGCGTCCCTTATGGGTTACGCCCCTTGGCAAGCCTCGTCCTCAGACATGGCCGCCAGCTACCTTGCAGGCCACAGCGCCCCCGCTAACGACGCGGCGGCGGGCGCCTCCTGGTTACTCGCTCATGGCGCTCGGACTGCCGTGACATCTGGCGGAGGAGCTGCTGCGGCCGTCGGAGTCGGCGCCGGTGGCCGGTCCGCTGAGCCCCTTAGGGCGGTTGGTGCGCCTGTCGCCGCGACGCGCATGGCCACTGGCCACTCCCCGAGTGTGAGCGAGGAGAGTGAGGAGGCTGCTGGCGTAGTGGGCGGGCTGGACTTGGATCCCTTGGCGCTGACTCTAGAGGTGGGGGCGGGTCGTGTTGACAGCCACATAAAGTAGATACGGTGTTGCCTTTCCTTGCAACCCGCTGCCGGCAGCACTTTGCACTCCCCGGTACTTTTGCCGCGCGCGCAAACTCGTGTCAGCAGTGACCCATCTACTTATCCATCTCTGCCACCCCTACCTCTCTCTGAATGCAGGCCATCATCGGGCTCGATTCCGCCAGCCAGCTAGGAACGAGATCGGTGCTCTCCGGGCCCACAACTGCTGCCGCTGCCCCGGGAACGGCACCCGCAGCTAAGGGCCTTATTGCCGCCGCCGCTGCGCCCAAGGCCCCTGCCGCCTCCCCTCCTGGAGTCCCACATCCATCTTCGCGCAGCTTTACCTCCGCCACTCCGGGTACGGCCGGAAACTTCATCGCTGGCCACGGCGGCAGCAGCAGCCAGCACAGCAGCCTAGATAGCAGCGACACCGTGCAGCATAGCGGCAGCAATGGCGCAGTCGCCACCCCCGCCGTACTGACGGGTTGGTCAGCCATGGCGGCGCGAGTCGCGCCGCTGGCGCCGGCGCTCTACCCCAACGTCGCTGGGGTGCAGCAGCAGCTTGCGGCGGCGGCAGCTGCTGCTGGAGGTGGTGGCCGCCATGTGGGGTCGCCGCTTCCACCATCCATCATGACTTCTGGTCAGTTCGCCGCCACGATGGCTGCTATGGGGGCTGCCGACGGCGGCGGCAGTTCCCTGGCGGCCGCGATGAGCAATGCCTGCGCCAGCGGTACGGCAGCACGTGACGTGTTCGGTGGCAAGGTGCTGCACCCAAAGCTGACCCCGCGCGTGCGAGAGGAGATTTGCCAGCTGGTTCGCACCGTCCCTGGCCTCAAGGTGCGTGCAGTTGAGCAGTTGCGCAGCGCAGCAGCCTTCTGGTACGTGGTTTGTCGCAGCGTGTATTATGGGCTCAGTACATTATTAACCTTCTTTTCTCTTATTAACCTGTAGGCCTAACCTTTCTCTTGCGCCTTACCTTTCGCCGCTTCCACAGGCCGAAGACTTTGATGACGGGGTGTTGCATCAGCTGACCCTGAAGCGCAGCGAGGACGAAGCACTTGCGGCGCTACGGCAGCTTGCGGCGGAGAACCTTTGCGGCATCCAGCACATGGCGGCCTACATCAACCACATCATCAAGAACTACCATCACACAGGCGGACTGGGGGCGGCAGGCGGGGCCGGCACGGCGGGGGCGTCGCTGCCGTCAGGTGGGGTTGCGGGTGCGGGTGCAGGTAACCGTCCAACAGGGCAGCACTGCACACTGGTTAGGGATGGCCGCGGGGCTGCTGGTGAGGGGTGTAGATGTATGTGCTCAACCGAGCGAGGCGAGCCGGATTGCGGTCTGAACGACCAAGTCCCGATTGTCATGAAGGTGGGCTGGAGGAAACTACCGGTAACCACATGCAAAGCCCATTATGTAGTGGTTGGCTAACGAATAGAGTTGGGTTGCATGGGTTTAAGCCATGCCTGCCGTGTCCGCCCGGTCTCCCTCCAGCCTTCCAATACCACGCTGCTGACCCGAAGCTGACACAGCTTTCACTACCTTCAAAGCCACTAACAGTTGCTCACCCCCTCATGCTTTGCTTGCCGTCCTCACCCTGCTCTGCAGCCACGGTTCGCGCCAACAGCACTCCGGTGTCGTCTAAGGCCATCCTGCAGAAGCTGCCCCTGCGCGTGTACAGGCGGCTTGAGGAGGTGATCGCAAAATGCTCCTACATGGAATGGAAGCACTTCGATGCGGGGGTGGTCAAGGTTAGCAAGGGGGTCCGTTCACCTGCAGCAACCTTGCATGCATAGGGGCGGGAACAGAGGACAGCAGTGAAGGTTATTCTGCTGGACCAAAACGGTGCACCTAGTTGTTAACTTACTTGTGCTAAGTAAGCGATGCATAGGATCCAGGTTTTGGATCCTATGCAAAACCTGTCGGGGCCCGGTCCACAAGCGCGCCATTCCCCTGCCTCCTCTCCCACGCCCCTTTCCCCTGGCCCTAGGTGATGGCCCAGTTGTCTGAGATGTGTGAGGAGGACGTTTTTGAAGAACTGGAGCTGCTGCAGTCCACCGACCTCTCCAACGTGGAGTACATGCCCGCCTACCTCAATAAGCGACTCAACAACCGCCTCTGGTCGCGGAGGAAGGTGATTAGCGCGGCGGGGGCAGGGGTGGGGGGTGGCAGCGGCGGCGGCGGCAGCAGCAGTACTGGGCCTTGAGGCTGCGCAGTTGGAGATCTCAGGGCACGGAGGGAGGAATGTTGACAGCGGTGCGGCGTAAGAATCCGGACCTACGAAATTACAGGATACATGGATGGACGTCCAGGTTAGCATGAACGCGCAATAGATCCTGGCAATGCTGTGCAGCATAAAACGCATTGTTTTGGGCATCAGGCGGGGACGGATGGCGTTTGCTTGTACCCGGGGCTTGCACCGGACAGCAGCTTGGCTGTCTGCAATGGCAGTACCGCCTCATACCACAGCTTTTGAGAAGTGCAAGAAGTGGGACTATAATCGGACGACAAATGTGCCAAAGCGAAGACCGGCAATGGGTTGTAGAATTGGATTAGGGGGTGCGCGCCTTGAGCCTTACCCGTGGGTCAGTCGGTCTCTGTACAATATCATTGTGCATCCGTGAGGAGTGGTTTATTTAGATAGGGTACGGGTTCCACGAGGGCCCGTAGCTATCTGGTTTGACGTCTGCTTTATCCTTACCTGTTTGGGTTGGTGCATGCCAGGACACGTGACATACGCTGGCCATTAAGCCGGTATGGGGACGCCCTTCAGTGTCCTTCAGTGCCCCTCTGTACATGTGTACATTTGAGTTGATTTCGGAGTTCGGGCCACAGACGGACGAGCTGTGAGCAGATAGGGCATGTTGAGAAGCTGGTAGACACGTGGTGCATGGATGACCAGGATGTCTTTCTACAGGAGAGAGGTATACCAGCAAAGCACAAGATGCGCACGCCGTTTGGATAATTCAGGGCGTAGTTCACCGCCTTCTGCAGCAATGGGGGCGGCGACCGGTGGGTCTGTTGGTGGTTGTGCTCATGATAAGACCGATGGGGGCTTGCGAGGCGCGGCAGCGCATTTCTACAGACTTGCGGGCATGAAGGGTAGGGGCTAAGTAAGGAGACTTCTTGTCAATTTAGCGAACCCACGGTGGTGCGGGATCTTTACTTCTTTAGGTGTGTCTTACGGAATACGCCACAGCAAAAGCAGAGGGTTGCGTTGTGCCTTCATGGAAGTGGAAGGACCCGTGGTTGGTATATGAGTGCCGTGGTCACGTAATGCCGGCGTACAACAGATGCGGCGCTTATAGATAGAATGATTCCGTCGTGTGTGTACTGTGCGAATGGACAGGAGTTTGGGGGTTCCTCATGCGGATACGGCATGGCCGGACACAGCACGGCGCATAGGCAGAGTTGTTGGGTACTTCAGGCATGGACTTTTAAGACTTTAACCCTGTATATTATCATTTTACTACGGACCTGGACCGATACTGCCTTTTGCAAGCAACTGGGCAACGCGTTGGACCTGTCTCGTGTACCATATTGCCTTTCAGTGCTTCCCTAATCTGGTAGGTGTTGTACGGCAGGTACTGAAACTTAAATGTATCTGGGAGACGCTTTGTTGGCACGCTTTGCGCATTTATGAGGTAGGGTGCATATTCTTTCACACTACTTCTGCTCACTACTTATAAACGCAGTTCAGCCCAGCGCTACTGAATTGCGTGTGGGATCATGTCTCCAGGGGCGGATAGGTGGCATTCGCAGCTGTATGGAGTCACCTTATTAGTCGGCCCGTGTAGGTTGCTTAAGTAGTACTTATTTCTGCTTGTGGCTGGTGTGCCATCCTGCACCCTGTACTTCACGTGGTTTAAGGCCGAATTGGTATTTCAATAACAAAGGAATGCGACCATGACGCAAGCAATGTGCTGTCGGGGTAGAACTGCGCCTCGTGTCCCTTGACCTAATTTGTCCAATACATGCCCAATGTCCCCAAACGGGTTTTAGGGGTGTGGTTTCGGACAGTGTGAGCATCGGGATCTGCCTCCATTTCGGGTTTACGAGGCAGCAGATAAAAGGATCGTGTCCCTCACATCAACTTCACACAAGCAGGCCCCAGTACCATGGAACAAAGCTAACCGCCATATGACAGTCCTCGTCAACTGGGGACTGAACAACATACAAAAAGGGGGTTGAGCTTCCTAAAAGCATGAAAAACCCGAAGCACGCCAGCGGCGCTCAAGCCCTACAGCCCATGTGACAACCCAGGCCCCGCCTAACAAGCGTTCATAGCTCCCGCCGCCTCCATAGGCGGCATGGATGACGCTACACTCATGTTGCCCGCCACTGCTCCCCAGCCTCTCGTGTGCTGTTGCACCATTGAACCTGGGCCGCATGGCTTAACGCGGAAGACACTGGTCAGGGAGGGCGGGGGGAAGTTACGAGCAACAAAGCTCCAATAGTGAAGGCAGAATGCCGAACTATGGAGCTGTCAGACCTGAAGAGACAGCGAGAAGGACGAGCTGTACGACTGCCGTATAGAATCTAACTTAGAGAGCTATAGTCGCTGCTCTCCTGCCGCTTCTAAGTAACAATTCTATACTATAGTCTTAACATATCTTGCGGTCGGCAGCCGGGGAGCTAGTGAAGAGCTGAATTGCGGTTGGGGCAGGAGACACGGCAATGGATTGGATTGGGCCTTACACACTATTGCAGACACGAAGAGATAGCAGAAGTCGCTATAACCTTCCGCGTCATGCGAGGCCCAGGTTCCCAGATCCCTTGAATACCACTCGTCTGTCCAGCATGATCTCGACTCCAGGGTCCAGGCACGTGAAAACGGCAGCTCCTCGCCAGCAAAGAGGCAACCTGTGCCTTGGCATAACAGCCCATTAGTTCTTGAACAAGGCAACCTGTGCCTGTGACGCTAGGCGTAGCAGGCTAATGGCGGACTTCATGGCGCTTCTTGCGCCTGCCAGGGTAGAGCATAAAAATTATTCATCTTCGTCGAAGGTAATTAGACTTCAGGATCGCAGCATTCACGGTGCTTGAACTGAGAGCCTCCGGGTCAAAATCTTCGCGCGTAAAGAGCGTGCAGCTACGCTGCCACAACTCGTACACAGCCTCCAGGCTACCGCCGCAGGCCGGGCCTGCCCTGTCCACGGCTCGGTACGGCATGGGTTTCGACATGCTCTCCCATCACCCTCCATGCTCCCCACTCCCCTCATCACCCCCTCGTCCCTCCAGCACCTCTAAACGCCCCTGCATCACCATGAGGTGTACGGCAACGTAGTACGGCATGGGTTTCGACACGCTCTCCCACCCCCCTCCATGCTCCCCACTCCCCTCACCTCCCCCTCGTCCCTCCAGCACCTCTGACCACCCCTGCATCACCATGAGGTGTACGGCAACGCAGTACGGCATGGGTTTCGACACGCTCTCCCACCCCCCTCCATGCTCCCCACTCCCCTCATCACCCCCTCGTCCCTCCAGCACCTCTGACAGCCCCTGCATCACCATGAGGTGTACTGCAACGCAGTACGGCGTGGGTGTCGCTCTAGCTCCTCTGACCACCCCTGTCGTACAGCGACACGGTACGGCATGGGTTAGGGCACCACGTATCACCAATCTTCTTGTTGCAATATCTTGCATTGTGATGTCGACTAAGCTATAACTGAGTTAATGAGCCATTCGCAGTTTCTTGGTTACTTTCCAAAATAGCGTAAAACTGTTTGGTGACCGTGACCACCCCCCTCCATACTCACCACTCCCCTCACCACCCCTTCATCGCTCCAGCTCCTCTGAACACCCCTGTCGTACAGCGACGCGGTACAGCATGGGTTCGGGCACCGTGTGCCGCCCATCTCTTTGTCGCAATGTCTTGCATTGTGGTGTCGACTAAGCTATAACTGAGTTAATGAGCCATTCGCAGTTTCTTGGTTACTTCCAGAAATCGGCGTAAAACTGTTTTGGCGATGGATATGGCTTCGGCAAAAGTAAATCGGCGCAAGTTGCAAGCTGGTTTCGGCGAGAAGCGTGGTCGTGAAGTCGGCGCGTTTGCTGAAAAGCGCCGATTACTGATCGCCGAAAACAATGGTTCATCGGCGATCACTGATCGGCGAATGCTGTCAGGGGTGGTGGCTGTGAGAGCTTCTTAGGTTTCGGCGACGGACACGGCATCGGCAAAAGCCTTTCGGCGCATTTTGCAATGCTGTCTTTTTAGGTTTCCTCCCCCGTAACGAAGTGGAGTCACATCCCGCCAACTTCCTTGCGCCGCTCGTCTGCACTGTGATGTCGACTAAGCTATAACTGAGTTAATGAGCCATTCGCAGTTTCTTGGTTACTTTACTTAAGAAAGTAATCCTGCCCGTCAGCGAGAGGCGACCTATGCCTCGCGACAGATGCCTTACAACCAATGCTTACAAACAAAACTGGCACGCCAATGTTGGGTCCGCCGACCCCGCCTGTCAGCGAGTGTAGCAAGCTCACAACATTGGTCACTGCACCGACATCAGGTCCACCGACCCTGATCGTCGGCGAGAGGCGACCTATGCCTTACAACAAATGGCTTACGACTAATGCTTTCAAACATGAGCCGCACGCTGACATCAGGTCCGCCCACCATGCTTGTCTGCGACATGAGCAAGCTCACAACACTGGTCGGCACGCCAACGTTAGGTCCGCAATGCTGAAGTCATGCTCACAACATTGGTCACTGCACCGACATCAGGTCCACCGACCCTGATCGTCGGTGAGAGGCGACCTATGCCTTACAACAAATGGCTTACGACTAATGCTTTCAAACATGAGCCGCACGCTGACATCAGGTCCGCAGACCATGCTTGTCTGCGACATGAGCAAGCTCACAACACTGGTCGGCACGCCAACGTTAGGTCCGCAATGCTGAAGTCATGCAGGCACGCAAAGCTTGTTCGTTCGCGAATTCATCACCAAGCAGGATTTACGGTACCCCCGGCCGCGGCGACCACGACGCGGCGCTATTGTTTTCACTTCACTGCCATTGCACCCGCGATGCGCATGAGGATGGGATCTTGCGTTTTTGGGCGACTTTTGGGGGGCCGGACTTGGTTTCGGAGGATGCAACCTCTTCATAAACGTCCATTTGTCACCATACACATCAACACCAAAGGTGGTTCGCTATAGTCTAGGCGGTTAGGATACGAGATTCTCACTCTCGAGACCCGGGTTCGAGTCCCGGTAGCGAAACTTTTTCTAGTGTAGACAAGAGCAGACAGCCCGGCAATGCCGGGGCAATGGGGTCGTCATCGTATAGTGGTTAGTATCCCCGCCTGTCAACCAGAAACTGCCCGCGGGAGGCCGGGGTTCGATTCCCCGTGACGGCGTTTTGCGCTTTTTCCTTGTAATTTGGCAGTATCTTTGATATCCGCTGATGTGTTTGCTTGGCTTGTTCGCTTACCCGTCTACTCAGGCCACTTGGCCAGCAGTAGTCTGACGGCTGCCACATACAGACACCTGGGCGTGTATTCCTTGCACTGTTGAACCTTCAGTGTGCATAGACATGTCTCATACCCACTCTTATTGCACCGTGTTGCCATCCATCGCTCATCATTAAGGCACCGAGGTCTTCCGTATCAGTGTCAGCAACAACACGCCCTGACGCCCGGTCTGTCACTTAACCCAAGTACCCAACCCAGCTCCTTCGATTCTCCTGCTGCTGAACTGCGCCCCTCCCGTCCTTCGCAGTACACGAATCACGCTTGGGGACTGCTAGCAACGCAGCCTGCATGGTACTGTATGCCTATGTCACGGTAGATACCTCGGGCCCCGCTGCCACCGCCGTAGCATGGGGCGAAAACGCGGGCACCTCGCTCGTTCGCGCTTCCTGCCGTACGCTCCCAGCCGACGACGCCACATCAAGCCTCAGGTGTCGTACAGCAAAGCCAGGGCCGGACAAAATCCCCGAGGCGCGCGTACCGCGCCCGGCTGAGGGACTTGGGTGACGCTGCGCGGCGCAGCGCCAGGTAGGTGATGGCATGTACGACCACTAGGTAGAGGAAGAGGTAGCCGATTGTCGTACCCACGGGGGTGTTGATCTTGTAGTACGACAGCAGCGCGTTGGTGCTGACCACGCAGTTGCCCATGGGTCGCGCCATGCCGTACCTGGGATGCGGAGGGAAAACGAAAGGGGTATAGACAGGAGGATGACGTAAAGGCACGGAAACAGGAAAACGTTACGATACCGGTAGTTCATGATCTGGGTCAGGCTGGATGGGTCAATCAAACGCTTCCTTGTACGGACACTCCGCCCAGGACACTCCCTGCAACGAACGTACGGCGCCACCCATGTCTCGAGGACACGCGCGTTCTAACCGATTACCGGTTACAGCCCTCACTTCCTATGCCCCTCTCCCCCATGCACCCCCAGAGAGGCCTTCTCACCTCAGCAAGCTGAACCGGGGGTTGGTGGGCAGGAACTGCGAGTAGAGCCCGAGGGCATCGGTGCCCAGCATGCCCGTCACCCCCGCCGGGCCGCACAGGAAGGCGCGGTTTCGGAACTACGCCTCGAGCAGCCCGCGCCAGGTGTGGTCGAGGGCGGAGATGGCGCGCAGGCGGCGTATCCAGGGGAAGGAGATCTTGGCTGCGGGCGGCAGGAGGCGGCGGTGGCAGCAGCAGCAGGGGGTGCGAGGGACGTGGGGGTTAGGGAGGAAGCCTTGAAGCCTTGAGGGGAGGTTGGGGAGCTACCGGTATGGAGTGGAAAGGCAGGCTTGCATGCATGCATGGTAGCGGGGAAGTTACGGTGCAGTCCCGCGACGCCGGTCTTGCTTACCAGCTCCCAGACAACATGCTACTGAAGAGGAGGTTCACTACCGAGAAGGCGACTGATGCGATGAAGGCGATGTCCTGGTTGGGGGAGAACGCCACGGCGGCCTGCGGGGGGTGAGGAGGGGGAAGATACGTGTGATGACACGGGCGGGGAGGGGCGGCGCGAGAAGGGGATCTCTCCTAAGGAGGAAGAGAGTGTTAGGTAGATTGCAGCGTCACTATAGCTCATGAGACAGGAGTGTGGGCATATAGCGAAAGGACAGCGGGTGCAGGTTGCCGCCCATCCATGGTTCCCAGTAAAGCGATCCATGGGCCACCTTCCGCACTTAAGCACAATACCTGTGTCTGCACCGTTCATCTACCCGTTGAACCCCCTTCAACTAGCCCCCGCCGTGGCATCTCACCACCCCCAGCTGCTCACCTGCACCCACTGCATGGAGATGAGGGCCATGAGGGCGGAGCAGGTGGCATGTCGTACACAGTCCACCACACTGTGCCGCATACCCAGCATGCCGTACCTGCGTACGATAACGGTACGACACAAAGGAAGTCCGTCCGTACAGGTTAAGAACTTGGGACAAAGGGGCCACGCGGCCACCACACGGTCACAGTCTGCGAGGTGGGTAAGAGCGCAGCGGACATATGTCGCGCAGTGTGCCGGTAGCTGCTTACCCAATGAGGTCGAATGTGAGCGCGATGATGATGTTGAATGGTGCGGTGGCGGTGACCTTGGCTGCGTAGTAGGCTGAGGGCGCGTACAGCCCGCCGCCGCCGCCGCGTGCAGAGGCCTCAAGAAGAAAGAAGCGCTTGTCTGGTGGTAAGGAGGGGAGGAGGGTGTGGAGGGGGAAGCAGGGAGGGGGGTCTGCATGTACCCAGGTTCCACGTTTCCTAATCCTGTCCTCCGCCGCCGCCTCACCGCCCTGGCCACCGGATCCATCGGTCTCATTGTGCTCGGACCGGGCTTGGCACTATCTCATCCCAACCCACGCACCCGCCGTGAAGAGGCTCATGAAGACAAAGGGCATCACAATGAAGAAGAACACCAGAGCGAAGAGCAGGTTGGCGCGGAGGGCAATGTTGGTGGCATCCGTCTGCGTGGTCCACAAGAGGGTGAGGTGGCGGGAGCAACACATCACCGTGTAAGCGACATGATCTGCACCAGTTGGGATACTCCATGGCGCAGTTGCGGTACGCAATCCCAATCCTTTCTAGTGTAGCCTTGCTTCACGCATGGCAGAGAACACGGAAGTGCTTTAGAAACATGCTGCACGGATATGCCCTACAGGGTACCCAAGCAAAGTGTCCCACGGATCGCTACCCTCCTAAAGAGACTTCCGTACGTACCGGGAAGTTGTAGGTTAGGAAGTTGGAGAACAGGCCAACCCACACAAAGGTCAGCATGCGTCCTGCCACGTCAGCCGGGTTACGTGTCGCCATCAGCCACTCCCGCCACACCAGCATCTGGTACTGCCGGAACCAGAGCTCCGCTGACGTGGCAACCCCCGCCGCTGCAGTCGCCACCCAGCTGCACGACAGCGGCGGCGTGTGCGACACGGCGCCACCTCCGCCGCCTGCAGTCCCCGCCGTGCCGTCTTCACGACCTGTACGACATGCGTCGTCACCAGCAGTGTTTGTCGTACATCCGGGTACGGGAATGGTCCTCGTGATGGCGGAGGCATGCAGTACATTGAGGTAGTCCGGCACACCGGCGCTGACGCCGGGAGCTGGCGGCACTGCCTGTACGGCATCGGCGATGAAGGTATCCGCCGCGGCATGCAGCTCGGAGAGTGACGTCGTCGCTCGCGGGGAGTCCGGACCCGACCACGTCTCACTGCAGCTGCTGTTGTTGCTGTTGCGGCTGCTGACACTGCCGCCGCCGCTGCTGCTGATGGCCCGCAGTTGGGCCGGGCCATACCCGCTGCGGCTGCTGCTGCTGAACCTGATAACTCCGCCGCGACCACCACCTCCGATGACAATGTTTGTTGCGGTCATGCCAAAAAAAAATTGCGGTCATGCCGTCATACCTGGCCCTTCCCACCACCGGCTGATCGGGCCGTCCGTATCCCACATTCCCAGATTCCCGCCTCAGAGCTCCGTTGGCAGCAATCGCGCCGCCGCCGCCGCCAGCAGTAGCAATAGCAGCAGCTGGGGTGGTAGCGGCAGTAGAGGCAGCAGTAGGGGCCTGCATGCCCGACGGCAGCGCCACCAGGTCCATGATCCAGTCCGTGTACGGCGGGGCTGTAGCTGTAGCCCAGCCTGTCCCGGAACCAGGGCAGCAGCTCCGAGGGCGGTCCGCAGTACAGCAGCCGCCCGCGCCCCAGCACCACCACCTGCTGCACCTGCTCCCAGATGGCGGCGCGCGGCTGGTGAAGCGAGGCAACAACCGTCACACCGCCGCCTCCGCCACCCCCCGCTCTCCCGCCCGCATGTCCGTGTGCATGTCTCCCCGCCGCCAGCGCCGCCACGTGCCCCACCACCACCGCCGCCGCGAATGCGTCCAGTCCGCTGGTGGGCTCGTCCAGCAGCAGCACGCGCGGTCGCGACATCAGCCCGCTGCCGATGCTCAGCCGCTTGCGCTCGCCGCCGCTGAGGCCGCGCAGCAGCAGCCCACCCGGCAGCACCCCGCCCACCATGGTGTCCATCACGCCACTCAGACCCAGCGCCGCAGCCACCGCCGCCGCGCGCGCCGCCACCGCTGCAGGCGAGCACTGCGGCGGCGGCAGCACCAGTCGGCCCTGCAGCAGCAGCGCCTCCCGCACCGTGATCTGCGGCAGGAAGGCGTCCTCCTGCGGCACGTAGGAGCTGCTGCGCAGGAAGGCGCGGCGGTCGCGGGGCTGGCCGTTGACCAGCACCTGGCCGCTGCAGTCGGGGGCGGAGGGAGAGGAGGAGGCAGGGGAGGAGGGGGAGGAGGAGGCAGGGGAGGGGGAGGAGGAGGGGCCCTCTGGTAGGGCTGCTGCGCCGCGCAGAGCAAGCAGGTCCAGCAGTGTGGACTTGCCTGCGGGGTGGGAAGTGGGGTGGGTCAGGTGGCTGTGATAGTTGCAGCCTTCCTTTGTGCCTCTCCCTCTCATCCACACGCCCAGTTACCTCCCACACCCAACCGTTTCCCTCCCTGCCCCGCCCCGCCCCGCCCCGCCCCCACCTGCTCCCGACGGCCCCAGCAGTGCGGTGACGGCCCCCGCAGGCGCCCGGCCGCCCACGTCCCGCAGCACCATCAACAGCCCGCGCGGGGACACCACCGTCAGTCTCACGTGACGCCACTCCAGACACACCTTCGGGGAGGGGGGGGGGCAGGAAAGGGCAGGAGGGAGCAGGAAGGGGCAGGAGTTAGGTTAAGGAAGGAGATGTGACGTGACGCGAGGAAGCGGTCACCGCTGCCCCGGACCAAGCAACGTTCATGCCCCCATGTCGAGCATGCACTGCTCCCCTCATCTGCCGTACCGCCGTACTACCTGCTGCGCGGGGCTCTTGCCGTACGACGCATCGTCATACCCGAGTGCCGCCTCCAGCGCCGCCGAGGAGGCGCCCAGCAGCTCAGTGCGCCGACCGGTGTGGGACTTGCTGGCGTCACCCTTGGACTTGCCGTTACTGTTGCCGGTGCTGCTGCTGCTGCCACCGCCGCTGTTGCTGCTGTTCGTTCCAAGACCGTTAGCACACGCAGGCAGGAACCCGCCGTCCTCCACATCGTCTTCCTCCCCCTCTGCTAGAGGTTTCAGAGACGGCAGGTGTGAGGTCGGGGGGCTGGCAGATCCGTGGATGGGCGGGAAGCTGCTACGAGCAGCGCTGGTTGCGGGCACCGCGACTCCCTCTTCGGAAGAGGAGTCTGCACAGGGATAAGGCGGTTTGCGGCCGTTTGGACAACGCATGTTAGGGGCTGAGGACAGTGGAGGGACGGGTGGTAAGCTGTCCAGGCGTGGCGTGTTGAAGTGTGGCTTCATAATGACGGACTCAGCAACTTTATGCCAGCATGCCACTACGCCAGAAGAGCACTCCCTTGACCTCTTGCTCCTGCTTCGCCACCCCTGACGACCCCCGGCGCCCCCCCTCACCTCCCTCCGCCCCGCTCCTGCCGCCCCGGATCCTAGCTAGCAGCGCTCGGGGCTTCAGGTGCCTGTGCTTGCGGGGGGCGGGTGGGGGGGACGGCGCTGTTACGTTGCTGCTCAGCGCACCTCTCCACGCACCTCGCTCGCCCCTTCCTTCCCCCATTTCCCCTCCCTGCTGCACCCCCGGCCTGCCCCGGCCCCCTCACCCCCCCACCTCTTGAGGCTGGACATGTAGAGGAAGAGCCCATGCACCAGGAACGCGATGGCGAAGATGTGTCCGAACAGCGCCATGACCAGCCACAGCGGCAGGATGGCGCAGGCGGGCTCCACGCGGGACAGCGCAAGAGACACGTCGGGAGACAGGGAGCCGCCGAAGGCAGCGTCCGGGGTTGAGGAGGGGGACATGGGGGCTGGTGGGGTGGCTGCCGGTGGCTAAAAGGAGGAGGAAGGGGAACCGCGGGGCAGTCTGTCCAGTGGCGGGTCGCTTATGACGATGTGCTGCAGTTGAAGGAAAAGCGAGGCAAGGGAGAAGGGGTTAACGCGGTGATATGCTATGTATACGGAGATATATTATAAATTATTAACTTATGTGTCAAAAAGGTTGTGGTGGAATACAGATTGCAACGATGTACCCGTAAGGGAATTATGCCTGTTAGTAATGGATATGAGCCATGGGTCAACATCGGTAAGCGCGATGCATGGCCGCGACAGCCGAGGTGCGCCTGGCTTTACAGACAACACAATTGAATGCAGTGCTTAATGAATGAAACACACTTGGTCAGGGCGTCGCCGGTTGCGTTTCTATGGGGATTCGCTGGCTTCAGCTCCGTTCGCGTCCGGGCCCCCATACCTCTAAAGGTATCAAGTTGCTTCTTGGTAACAAAGGCAAATCGAGTGTCCTTCCTCAAGCTTTCTGCTAGGTGCTTGACAGTAACTCTTCTATTATCTGCAGCTATACGTTCTGCAGCTTGTTGCAACGCAAGCAGTTGGTCATCAGTCCAGCGGCGTTTGCCCATTGCTGCCTCATAGCTGCAACATGTTAACAACATAAGTATTCTAACGTTACTGTGATACGCTGCACTGTGTATAACTACAACGACTATCCGTGATCAACAAGGGATGCCAAACAGCCACTGTAAGGGGCCATTCACATATGAGTGATTTTGGGAATGAGTGCGTAGGAGCGCGTAGGGGAAAATTGTTCATATTGTAATTTTTAATTACGTTTGGCCGGGAATTATTTTTAGGGGCCATTCACATATGAGTGATTTTGGGAATGAGTGCGTAGGAGCGCGTAGGGGAAAATTGTCCACATTGTAATTTTTAATTACGTTTGGCCTGGAATTATTTTTAACAACGCCTGAGTTCAAAAAATAATTCCATAGGTGAATCATGAGTGAAGTTGAGTGAAGTGAGTGAAGAAACTCGTGAGCAGGCACCCCCTGCCGACTAGCATCCCTATGCCAAGCGCATACTTTGGTTGCTTTCCTAGACTTCGCGACTGCATATTTTTGTTCTCGATATACTACTTTCTCATAGAAAGCTTTGCGCGGCCTCGCGCGGTGCGAGTTTGACGACTTTGCTAACAATGGTCGCGACAAGCAACTACCGCGTGCGCATGGCTGCGGAGACCTGCGAAGAGATCATCTTGGCAGGTCTACGCAGCCGCTAGCTTCCTGCCTTGCTGCCCGTGTTCGGTCGCGGTCGCGGAATTTCGACTCTCACTGTACGCCCGACCAATGTGAACGCATATTGAGTTTTTTCGACTCATTCACGCACCCTCACTCAAAAGTACCTCCTTCATATATGAATGGGCCCTTACGTAAACAGACCTGCGTTTACAAGAGGTTACGTCTGTCAACGCCTCAAGAGCACACGTATGATGACGCTGCCTTGATTTTTGGCCTGCCCTTGATTCAAGGCGCTCCGCTAGGCCGCGGCTTGGAAGCAAGGGAACAGCCTTAGTGAACACCCCGGCAAATTGTAAAAGTTTTCGCGTGAGCTTTTTGGCATCTTTTTCGTGCAAAAGGTTTGAAATTTGAATGTGTATATGCAAGTCACAAAGACAACCTGCGCTGTGGCTCCAAGTCAAGAACAATTGTTATGAGTTGAGAGGAGTTTCTAGCTGCAGCGTTCGTCACATAATCATGGCACAGGTGTTTGTTGTATTGTGATGTTAAATAATGATATGTATATGGGTGAGCAGTGATGTTGGCGTGTGTCGTACAAAGTACAAAGCAAGTTACAAAAGAAGAGGCCTTAAGCGCATGTTGATAGCTTGCTACACGCTGGTATCCGTTAGGTTGTTGTCGCGGTAAGGCCAGCAGCGTAGTTTAATACGGCCGACACAAATGGCTTCGGTATTGCCTTCCTTACTCAATACACACAATGGCCAGGGAATGCAGGAAAACATATGAAGTTGAGGCTCTGTGTAAAGCAGCCGAGACTATTGCTTCTAGCGGACTGAAACTTACTGCCAAGGTATTGTATGATAAAGTGTGCTCCGACACGCGCTTGAAGGGCTTGACGTATAAACAAGCATTACAAACTATCGTGGCTACTGGGAAGGAAGCGTCGCCAAAGACATTGCTGCAGGAAATGGGGCGGCCCAGTATCACTGTAGGCATGGTGCGGAATCGACTGCGGAAGGAACAAAGTCAAAAAGGTACGGTCGCTCATAGTGAACTGTTTGAAGGTAACCACTGTTTCGCTGACGACATTGCTCCATCGCACAAACGAAGGTGACAATGTTCCAAGCAGTGCTCAAAAGGAGAGCGGTATGGGTACGTTGTTTATTATGAGTGCATTTCAGAAAAGGTGCTGGAGGAATGCTGCACCGAAGAGAGCGTACCACTGAATACTAGCCCAACATGCTCTGAATGCCACCCACAAACCCCTGCCCACATAGAAGAAGACAACTTTGGCGACGAGGCTCTGCCAGCATATGACAAACGCAGTGGAGTGCAGAGGTGCACCTACACTACAGTTGAAGCAGCAGAGGAAGCCTGCAGATCTCCATCCCCTCCCCTCCCCTGCCAAAGCTTAACTCCCAAACTCAGCCTCTCTGGATGTTATAGCCTCCACGGTTCAATACACATTTCCTATACAAGCCATGCCACCGCCCTGTCCTCCCCACCCCTACTTTCCTGTTGCCTTACCTTTCCTCGCTTTCCTTTCACCACCAACCCTGTTCTTGCTTTCCTATCCCTTTCCCTGCCCACGCCATCCTTTAGCTTCCATGCCTTTATTGTTCTCTCCCCGTGACTCCCCTTGCCAACCCATTCCCACCCCATCCCTGTGCTCGAATGAGGGTGACAGCGAGGGCAACTGATACCTAGGACCGTGCGTCAGTTACTGTGCACGCCTATGATACCCTCGGGTTGCCAACGCAATTGCGACCCTGCTTAGCAAGACGGCTTGCCCCTGAGGGCCGCAGACGCCAGGCTTGCTGGTGCAATATGCCAATTCGCACTATCCAGGCATGCCCCTCGACGCTGTAAACGCCTCCCTCATATGACCCTACGCAGCCATCTGACCCTCCCAAACGGGACACCCATGCGCCACTCTCCTAAGCAGCCTCGTCAGCCCCCCAGCCCGCCACCTTAACCACCCAAGCATGACTCCCACACACCGCCATCATAAGCAGCCGCGAAAACGCACTAAACCACCCCACCACACCGTCACCCCCCCCTGCCGCACACCCGCTTGGGCAGGCCACGAGATCGCTTCGGTCTGGTACCTTCTTGGTCGACGTCGGTTGTCAGTTAGTTAGGGAGTTGTCACTTGCTGTTAAACAATTGGAGATTATCACCCGTCGGAAGACGCACGGCTAGATAGGGTTGGACTTTACTGTTAGCTTGAATAAAGGGCTGTACCGGTGACAGAGCAGCAACTGTCCAGGTTTGGGTATAGGACGGCAGGACGAGAAGAGGTCCAGCGGCCGTCAGCAGAACACTTGGAAGGGTTAGGTCTATAACAGGAATCGCACGCGTATGTATTACTCCGGGGCCGAAGCACTCGTCCACCACGATGTAATGGGCACGACTCGGACCGGCAGCGACAGCAATAGGTCCGCGCTGGGCATCAACAGGGGTCTCAACAATAACACCGCTAATACGGGCGAGATAGGGAAACTCCCTCGCAACTGTAGGCGTAGACTCAGCAGCCAGGGTTCAGGGAACTTGCCGTATGGCCATATGCACGTTAGTTTATGTTATAACTAGATAAGACGACGCGAACAGAGACCAGTTGGGTGAGCGTCGCAGTTGGATATATTGCCAGAGGGCAATTAAGGGTCGCGCTGTAAGAGAAGTAAGCTTGGATCAAGCTGAAGGGGTAAAGTACCTGCAATAGTCCTGCAAGCATTGATTGTTATCAAGCCAACAACGGTTGGCTGAAGAAGCGGTGGGTGCAAACAGATAGTCTTGAAGTATCGGTCGTGATCGTGCAAGGTGAGTGTTAAGGAGCAGGAAGGCTCGAATATATCACTCAACGGTTACACGATTATTAGCCCGAGCTGGGCACTTAGCACAGGAGTAGTCAAGCCCAGCGAGGGCTGGATACGAAGTCTGGGGACAAAGCCCCTATGGCATACACCACCCCCGTAACCCCCTAGTAAAGTTTACCGGGGTAGTTAAGTTACTGCCTCACTATGGTTACCGGCCAATAACCTAGTAATCGTACTAGGGCCAGTAACTGGGCCAGTAATG